TTTTATGTCCTAAACATTCTGTATCGTATATACTCCGTAAATTCATACACATGAATGGCCAAAATCAAGCGGTTTCATCCGCTCAGTGCAACGGGGCGTGCTGCAACCCGCGCAGAGAGATGCTAGCCCTCACCGTCGCACCCGATCCCACGTCAAAGGCATCCGCCTTGATCATGCCAGGAGCCTCAAGAATGTCGGAGAAGGGAATCTCGATGGCTCCCGTCTCATCGGTCTTGTTCATCAGCGCAAGCTTGAAGCTCGACGCGTTGTTGACCATGTCCAGCGTCACCGGGATCCTGAACGCGGTGTCGAAGTTCGGGTTGAAGATGTCCATGCCGGGGCTGTACGACTTGATCGGCGTCTGGAACTCGCTCGCGCCCCACGTCACCTTCACGCTGGGGTTCAAGTCGCTGCGGTTGCCCTCGAGCCCGAGAGCGCTGGCGATGAGCACCGTCGCGAGCCCGCAGATCTGGCCCTCGCCCTGGCTCTCGGCGGCCTTGAGTGCATCAACCTCGGGAACAAAGTTGAAGAATTGGGCGTGGAGGACGATCTTCGAGCCGGTCGGTTCACCGTTGTGGATCAGCTCCAACTCGTGCGTGCCGCCTTCCAGCAGGATGTCCTTGACGGTGGTAGACGCAAGGCCGATATCGTCGTCGCCCACGAGGTCATCGTCATCCACATCGACGGCGATGACCTGGTCGAAATCCGTGATGAGGAAGTCATGCGTCTCGTTCCAGGTGGGGTTGTGGTCGTTCTTGACAGTCTTGGTGCGCCACATTTCTTCGGCACCGACACTGACCTGGCAGAAACAGTCGGGAATGTCCTTGATGATCTTGTCCAGCAGCCTCTTGGCGCCGCTCTTCTTAGGCCCGTTGATCTCGGTCGCCTTGTCGACGGTCAGTCGCAGGACGCCGAGGTGGTGCTGGTATGCCTTGAACCAGTCCAGGTTGCCGTCGAGCTTCACCAGGTAGCGGTTGGGGAGGACGGCCATGGAGCCGATGATGTTGAGAATGACCTTGCGGACGGCCTTCTCGATGAGGAAACAGTCCGCGATGTTGGCGGCATGAGCGAAGTCGAGCTTCAGGGTAGGCGGGTTGATAAAAGCAACTTGAGCCGCTCCAATCTGAGGTTGTGTTAGTGCATGCCCTTCACAATAAATGGGCGAGACTGCATTACCAGAGGAATGATATCGGTCAACGGCGAGAGTAGCACGGAAAGTCTGCCGTGGATGTGAACCTTCTCAATGCCCTGTCGAAATTTAGTCATGCAAATCTTCATCGTAAGTTTGTCGAGCATCTTACCAACTTGGGCACCATCTTACCCTCCAAATCAATGTCACATTGCCCATCCCAGTCCAGGTCCATATCAAGCTTGATACCCTCATTGTCGGTCTTGTGCACATCCACTTGGGAGAATCTCATGGGCACATTTCCCAGATCAATCTTGACGAAACGCAGGGTTGACAGAGGACCAGGCAACATTGAAGCGAGCATTGGCTCAACAATTTCCTTGGTCATTCGGCCGGCGGCGATGTTGATGTGTGGCCATAATTGGTCCACAATGTCATTGAGGAATCCTGATTAAGATCAGACGGTGCTCGTCGCTCAGACATAAACATTTCGAGATATTGAGCATCTTACCGGCCGATTCGGTTCCCCCCGACGCCTTTAGTCTCTCGACGAGTGGTGTTGCAAATGTCGCCATGCTGGAGCGATGTTTGAAAGTGTGTCTACTGAAAGATGAGGTCGAGAGTGTAGCACCCGGATCTCAATGAAGAAGAGCGAAATACGACGTTGTAAATAAGAATGTGGGGCACCACGACTTTTGAAGAAGAGGCAGGAAGGACCGATCATCGAGCCCAACATCGAAAGCACGAAGACATCAGCATGTTTTTGATGCCAAGTAGCCCGCGGGGACGGTCGTCATTCCTTGGCAGAGGGAGTGAATTGACGTCACTTGGCAAAACATGACCCCCCTTGTGCCTCTTCTGCGCGGCGAAACCCCTCTCCCATTGGGGCCCTGAGTGTTTGGGAGGCGGTATAAACATTTGGAGTTCAAACTTCCAATAGGCGGGGCGCGACGCGGTGCGGATTCGCTGCTAAACAAGTTTTTTGGGCGGTGATACACGAACCTACGTAGCCTAAATTGCAGCACCAGTTTGACCAGTTTCGGTTAACTGCGGCCCGCAGGTGGCCACTTAGCCCCTACCACGTAGATTGTTGTAGTTTCAGCTGGCTGACACACCGCTTGTTGACCCTCTCATATTTCAACGACAACAAGGGGACGGGACCTGTTTGCATGCCAAGAACGATGACAAGTAGTCTTACCGTTCTGCAACAAATCGCATCGCCTTTGCGCCGCTGTCGTATGAGGGCATGTTGTAGAAACACAAAAGAAAAGAGGCAAAGCCCCGAGAGCGTGTCTCATTTATCATCGGTGCAACATTTGTTTGGAAAAGTCTCAATGTCAGACAAGTACAAGTGTGATCACTCGAGCATGTTGGGGGGAGACAACGCGTTTCGATAACAACCCCGCGTCAGATAGCTGATGCGGGCACTTCGACCCAACCCCGCCTGCGTGAAGACCTTCTCCACAGATATCTGCACATGTAGGGCCACTTTCAACCTATCAACCCCCATTTTCTCATGTTCAATCTATAAAAGTGGGAGAATGTTTCTATTTTTTTTTCCTTTCTCCTGCTGATCCGTACGACATGCGTGATTGGGCATGAGCCAGATATCGTGGAGGGTATTAAGATTCAATGGTAGCTTTACGTGGCGAAGACCGCGTGACAATATGACAACCGAATAATGACGCGTGGTTGAGCAGAACTCTCTGTGTCTTCTATTTGGTCCAAACATAGTACAATGCGAAGATAAGAATTTTTAGCAGGGCTAAAAGTGAAGGATCATATCCGAGTGTTCATTAGCAGCACCTTGGATCTTTAAGAAATAACAAGCTGTGCAGATTGGCAGAAGTTCATCGAAAGATAGAAGGACACATTGAGGTACAACTCTGCTTGGAGTCTCCGCATCGCTCGCTCACATATCAACTAATCAAGGAATAAAAGGGTAGGGTCTTCTCTTGTCATCACGTCAAATATTCCAGCAGTTACTACATGAGTCACAGAGCACAGCCTAATGCTTCTCAGAAACGGTACTCGCTGCCGTACTGACAGTATTATCAATTGAACCTGTTCAGTGATTTTTCAAGGAGTCAAGGAGCCACCAGACTCTATTTTACAATGGCTGATATCATGAGATATAGTCCATAGACCCAAGGCGAGTGTCAGCTGGTGGGTGACTGATGGCTCAAAGAGATGAAATTCGAGTTGTATTCAAACATGATTTCTCATTCGGCAATGCTCAATTTTGGATGATAGCTATCACACAGAGTTCTGGCTCCTGGGGGGTTCTTGTAGGACTAATTGGTAACTTGCCCACCAACAACAGCAACAGGCCAAGTCAAAACATCTCGCAATCATCTAAAATCCTCAATTGTGCTTGCATGTAATTTCGTTTCCCCGATACTTTGCGGAGAAGAGAACACCATTCCTGAACGTTCGGAAAATGAGAAGCCAATAAGTTCACCAAAATCATGTTTTCGTCCAATGTTTGCGTCCTACGAAGCAGCCTAATTGTCGAAGATCCATAACGATAGGATCACAAGCTAAAAGTCGCAGCGCGAATTCGGTATGACGTTGAGCTGATTGGACGGGATAACTGAACGGGCCGGTTGATGCAGTCTATGCATGAGCAACTAGAATCGATGGTCAAACGACGATATGGGTCGACTTAGTTTCGGAGAAGAAAAAGCAACGATAGGTTAATCAATAGAGGGGTCTAGAATGTAGATCATGAGTATCGACGGAGTCTTCGCCTTTGCCTGATAGGTGCAGAGTTGCGCCTCGTCAATTGCCCCATAGGTTGCCGAGAGACTACCCCGGCGATATGCTAGTTTATTTTCGGGACTTGCATTTAGTCACTCTAGTCTGCATCAAGTCCTGCAGTGATGTTCGATTGAATCCAGGTACTCCTTGCAGAGAGAAGGTTTGCTGCAACCGCGAGCGCTTCGGCAAAACGGTCTTTGCGAGCAGGCGTTGATACATTAAATGATTTGGTACTGATGCTTAAAGTCGGCAAGAACGGCACCATAGATGGGATACTTGAGACACTCGGTTCTGCTCGCATTCAGCAATTTTATCCGTCGGCATTCAAGGTTGGCCCAGGAAATTTCCCTGAGGTCACTTGAGGAACTTATGTCGAAAGTTTCTCCTTTCACTGCCGATCCGCAAGAAATTTGCCCCTTCGAGAAGAATAAGAAGTTCCTAATCACGGGAGCCAAGAGTCATGTATGGGGATCCCAAGATCACCGCCCCCTTACCGGAAAATACGCAGCGAAGGAGCCGTCCGATCTTCGAGTCAGTTCAGACGAACATGAGACATCAGATAAACGCTCCCGCCGAGCCAACACATATGGCGGCAATCAATAGCAGACGGATAGGAGGACTTGCCCGCAGCCCGAACGGGTCGCCCCAGACTGTTCATCCCTCATGCGCCGGTTTCCACTATTTTTATTCTCGACTCAAAACCTTGTCATGGATGGTGGGAGTTGGCAGAAGTGATGAGCCCCGTTCACATATTAAAACCTCCAAAGTCTAAATCGTCAACTCCGGAACACTCGGGCCACAAAGTCTCCCCCTTTCTCTCGGCACCAATCACTCGGGATAGCATAGAGTCGTATAACTCCACAAACAATATCACGATTATGAGGGCGATCGGTCTTCGCGAGGCCGGGATGGGGCTGCTTGCAGATATTGGATCGAAAGTCAGTTCTGTCCGCGGAACTTTCGGTCCAGAACTCGCGAAGATAAATAAGGCTGCCAGTCCGCCGTATTACTCGTGCTGATAGGAGTTCCAGTAGCTGTTTGTTACCGCTCTCCCAGTCACTCTTTTGATTCAATCCGAACACAGACATTCGTTTCAATAAACCATCTCAAGATGAAGAGCTTCAGCACCATTGTCCTTGCGGCTGCTGCCGCCACCGGCGTCATGTCCGCCGCTGTCAAGCAGCCCCAGCCCATTGAGCAGCGTACCACCGGGGCCGACCTCAAGTTGGCCGGTTCCGTCATGAACTCCGCCGCTTTCGACGCCTTCAAGAACACCGAGGTCAAGGTCGCCCCCAACGTCTTGAACTCGCGCCAGGAGGCCGAGCCTGACCCAAACCGTAACGAGACCAACCCCGACGTTGTCTTCTTGCTTCAGTGCGCTGACGCTGTGAGTCCATTAGAATCTTGATTCGTGTCTTTGGATGATTGCTTATAAAAGTTCAGGGCTTCCGTGGTGACTGCCTCGTCTTTGGTGCCCCCCCTGGTTCTTGTGGTAAGTGATGGCGCGATCCCTGGCGAGGTGACATATGCTGATGATTGATTCGCAGTCTCTTTCTTTGACTTCAACGGCCCCAACTCCACTGAGGTTAGCGACCGCTTCAACGACAAGGTTACCTCCCTGTCCACCAACACTGGTGGAAAGTGCCAGTTCTACAAGTATGTCGGCTGCTTTTATACTTCCATCATTGGATGCTAACAAGAATGTCAACAGGTTCAAGGGCTGCGACAACAAGGGCGACGACCGCGGTCTCACTTCTTCCTACAACTACAACCTGGCCGTTGCTCTGCCTGATGACCCTCGCACTGTTGAGTACGACAACGAGATCACCTCCTGGAGGTGCTAAATCAGTAGCCTCGTACATGAATAGACGAGAGCTCCGGTCTTACAGTAAGCCGAAGGGGGACGTCGGAGATGTTTAGGGATAGTTGAGCACCCAGATAGCAAACAATATACTGGGGCACCGCCATTGGGCGAATCATCATTGTCATGTCTAAATTGTGTTTATTCGACCAAACCCAGACCCCGCATACTTGTTGTCAAGTGGACTTGGATTGCAAGTGAACATACTTCAGAACCAGCGCATCATCATGAACTCAGACGGACCTAAATATGAGCATAGTCTTGGCGAATCCACCGTCGTTCATGGCTCGTCTTCATGTTGATGTAGCCCAGATACCTTACAAAGAGGTAATTATTATTTGATATTTGAACCTACAGCAACTGCGTGTCATACATGGTATATTTCGTCCGGATAGTATGTGCGATGTGAAGGTCTAAATGCATCATGTAGTCGTAAATGCACCGGAAAACTCACGATAGCTCATCTATCATTTGATGAACCGTTTGTGATAAAGCATCGAGAAGACCAAAGCGACGCCGATAGATCGATTCGGCGTGCAACAGAGGCCTTTGAAGCATGTAACTAGGAGATGTTAGCTTCATGCTTCAAATTTGGGCAAGAACCTTACTCACAGTCATATTAATGGCCTTCTCCAACTCGTTCTGATGTGCAATGATTTGACGAGGCACATATAATCCACAACGAGGGAGAATCCAGGCTCACAGAACAAACTTTAAGCAACATTCTACTTCCGCGAGAATGCAATACTGCTTCTTTTCACCGTATCGGAGCGTATCGATTGGGAAGACGAATCAAGCGGACTTGGCTTCTTTCGAGCCATTATCTGATATAGGCACATGTCAAACCAGCCTTCAGAATTCAGCCGATATGCGAGGATAGATTAATTCGCAGTCCAGACACAATTGGATCAAATGTAAGCTCTCCTACTCCGCATATCATATTGCAGCATTCACTTACCAGCTCAAAGTAGAGTCTTGCAGCTCAATTTCAAGCTGCGTGTCATTTGTGACTTCTCTGGTTCCGGGTAAAGAGTTATATTGACGTGTAAACCCCGCACCAGATCGAATGCGTCTACGGAGAGACTGGGCCGGATGTGTCCTACAAATCCAGTTCTACAAAGCGTTGGCACAGGTAAGTATTGGACGATGCTTCCTTTGTACGGGCGCAGGGAAGCTTGGCACAAATATAAATTAGGTGCTCGACTTCGACCTCTAATACCTGGTAAACTGCACTTCCACCGTAGGCCCCACAAAGGGTTCAACCACATATTTCACAATGCAGAACATTTCAGTCGTGATCCTCTTCTTCAGCCTTTTAGCTTGGTCTGTCCCTTAATCCAACTATCGCAATACGTATTACTGATGTGGGCTAGGGGCGTTTTTGGCCAGATTACGCTGACTCCCTCCACGATTGACCGCACAAAGACAGTCACTCAAGTCTCTGTCAGTCTCACTACCTCAATAATGACGACCGCCACTACTTCGACTGCGACCGTAACTGCTCCCATTACCTACCGCGAGACAACCACCGTAGTGGCCACAAAGACTGCGACAACAACTCAAACGACCACTCAGACGACCACAGTGCCGTGCTCCTTAGTCAACTGCCCCAAGATCACTTCGACGGGCACGATTTGCAAGAGCTGCTTCGTAGCGCAGTGTACGACGACTTCCACCGTCATCAGATCATGTGGTTGCTCGAGCGCTCTTGCTACGACGACTGTCGATTTTGGATGTGAGCAGCCTGATGTGTGCAACAGAATTGGGTGCAGAACTGTGTACGCTGTGGCTACTCCGGTTTGCTAGACAAACTGATGAAAAAGAAACGATAAGTTTCATGATGGCTTGGTGTGGCTTGCGAGACTGTGTGGTTCGGATCTGGCGCAGCGAATGGGTGTAGCCCACGCGTCATCATGAGCCGCATGTGAAAACGATGCCTAGGGTACATTGTGTAGTCTTCAAATGCTAAACCTTTTCTCAAATAAAGGGCCACGTGAGCGACGGTAGTTATGCATCGTCACAACCTATCCGATCTAGCTGTGACCATTTGACGTGAGAATTCAGGAAATGGAGGAAGGCGTAGTATCACCGGAGAGCAGCATGGCAAAAGTATAAAATGAATAACAGGGGAAAAAGGCTGAACTCGATCTTAGGGAATCGAGCCTTTGAAAGTCGTTGCGTGCTTTGCACAAGATCCCTAGTTCGCGACCTGCTGCTGAACCAAAGACGGCCCCGAGTCTGAGCTCCCCGAACTCGACAGACTCACGAATCCAGGCTCTTTATCAAGGTACATAACTAAAGGTAGGTGTGATGAGAAGGACACTTGTGTGGGCGGTGAGAGATCGATCCTACGTTGCCTTAGGGAAGGAGCTGCACCAAGCCGTGCCTGCCTCCCGGCGTACCTACCTTGCCTCATCTGCCTTATTTGATCAAGGCAGGCGCCGCGTCTTCTCCCAGTTTCTTCTCGGAGAAAATAGTCACCCCGCCTAAAATATTTTTACCGCTCAGTTTCTGTCGTCCAACCTTCATCCGCCAGCATCACAGGCACCCTCTCCCTTCGACATCACCACCCCCAATGGGTTTCCAACCATTGTTGGCTTATCTGCTATCGATATTCGTCATGACGGGGTAAGTGGATTTGAAACATGTCGCTGCAGAGAATTCCATCAATGTTTTGTGTCCCCGGTGGTACATTGCTGACCACACATCCAGCCTTTTTCGAGCACTTTGCGACACCGACCGGAGTCGTCAGAAACGCTCTGCGAAGTCGACCGAAGTCACTTCCTACCAACTCTGCGATACCGCCCGGAGTCACCCTGATGGAACTCTGCAAAGTGGACCGGAGATGTTGCGAGCAAGATCTGCGAGATCCTTCGCCAATTGGCCTTGGGCAAGCGGACGACTTGTCTCGTTAGCATGGCTTAGAGGTGTGCTTGCCATTGGTGATGGCACTATCATGGAAAGGCCCTGCTCTTCGAGAGTGGCAATGTTGACGGATGATACACGCCCTGTGAACTTTCATGCTGCGGTCCGGCGAGCGAGAAGAGCTAAACACTCTGTTTCAATCGCGCCACATTTGTGGTAAGGGCGGGACAGATGAGAGCATCATCAGTGGTTTCATGTCTGCGGCAAGGCAAATGTGATGGAATGAAGAATCGAGGTTGTCTTGGTCTTCCTGCCCTGCTCTTCACGAGTGGTAACGCTGACGGCTGGTACACGCCATGGGGCCTTCTTGCTGCGCTCCGAAATGGCTTCGCGAATAGCGATCGACTGTTCCTGCCCGGGAGGGTGGTAAAGGGTGACAGAAGTCGGTACTCCAGTGCTACCAGGCCCGCGGCGCGGCAGGGGACCGGGACCATTCCTTCGGGGGTGGTAAGCCATTCGCCAACTCTCTTGTGTCATGGACCTGATGCTAACTCACGAGCAAACGAAATTACTCTAGAAAATTGGCGAAGGACAGACTTAGTGCAGGTTGGTGGGAGGTTGAACGGCCGGCTTCCGTGATGGAGATGCAGTTGACTTGGTAGACCGGACCGGGACTGGAGTTGGAAAATACGGGTCGATTGGGAAATCAGCGGGGAGGTTTTGCAAACGGCAATTTGCCCTCTCGCGTACCGCACTTTCCTCTGACGAAGTGATCCTCACTCATGCGATGGCGCGATCGGCTGCAGCTCTTTTCGGAGATTGTGGGTTCTGGCGTGAACCGTTGGAGCGCCCAACGGAGTGGAACAGAAATGCACATGCAGGGCAAGCAAACAAGGTCCCAATCCATTAATTCACCGACATACTGCCTCGGGCCGTGGTTCCGCGGGCTGCGTTCTATGACCTCACAGCGATGTTACTGAGCTCTTGGTGCTGATTTGATTTTCGTCCAGCATCCTACCTTATTTTGCGCGATCGGTGCCTCGGTTTGTCCCGAATTGACATAAAAAGTGGCATCGGCCCATGATATTGCGACGGCCCAACACCAACCTAGAAGCCATCTAAGCTGCCAAGGTGGAGCTCGTGGCAACGGCCTACGCGCCCAAGTCTGTGGAGAAAACAGAAAGGGAAAACACCTCGATTTCTTGGGTCCGCAAAATCATGTCATGCGGGGCGAGCTAGTTTGTCGGTGAAATGGTCGCTCAAGAGGGACCATTAAGCCCTTAGCCCTTGGGAAATGAGGTCAACGCTTCTGCGGTTTGATGACATCAAAATTCAGTTGTCTCGATGATTGACGCGGTTAGCCGAAATCGCGGGGGCGGGGATGAATTGGGGATCGTCAGGTTCACCTTGACCACAACCCCGGCTCTCCCCTCATGATTCCCCGCATTTGTCGGTGCCATCAACACCGAGCGCGTTTGTCCGGATGCTACGCTGATTCCAGGGCTATACACCGGACGAACATGGGGTCTCGAGGGCGCGCAGGGGTTACTTTGCGACGTTTAAAAAGAAGAGAGACGCTGTCAAATCTAGAATAAGCTTGAGACGGCTTTCGAGTGGTATTGACAATTGGTCTGTTGGGTTGCATCCGATTCGGTTATCACGATGAGATTCGGATTGAAAGCCGGTGGCCTTTTGTGGCTCGCGGTCTCGCTTTGCGGGTCTGGCCGTGCTTTGGCTCAGGAAGACGTTGACTGGCCGATCCACGACAATGGCCTCAATGAAGTCGTCCAATGGTGAGACTTGCCGAAGATGTTTCATCGAAACAGGTACTGATGCAGGGACATGCAGGGATCACCACAGCTACATCGTCAATGGCGAGAGACTCTTTGTCTTCTCAGGTGAAGTACGGCCTCCTCCATCGCAGATCCTCATGATGATGATACTGACGGCTTCCAGTTCCACTACTGGCGTATCCCGGTGCCGGAACTTTGGAGAGACCTTCTTGAGAAGATCAAGGCGGCAGGGTAAGAGCGTACTGGACTGACACACCCAACCCACACTAACAATTGGCGACAGCTTCAATGCCTTCTCCATCTACAACCACTGGGGCTACCATAACCCGTCCCCTGGGGTCTTGGACTTCGAGACCGGCGCCCACAACTTCACATCCATCATGACCGTCGCTAAGGAGGTCGGCATCTACCTGATTATTCGCCCTGGCCCCTACGTCAACGCCGAGACCAACGCCGGAGGATTCCCTCTCTGGGCCACGACCGGCGAGTACGGTTCTCTGAGAAACGACGACTCGAGGTACACCGAGGCATGGACTCCTTTCTGGGCCGAGATCTCCAAGATCATCAAGCCGCACTTGATCACCAATGGCGGAAATGTCATCATGTTCCAAATTGAGAACGAGCTCAATGGACAGTGGAAGGATATCCCCAACCGCGTCCTCAACCCGCCCATTGCGAACTACATGCAGCTACTCCAAGATAGCGCACGGGAAAACGGCATCGATGTGCCTTTGTCGCACAATGCTCCCAACATGCGAGGATACTCTTGGTCCAAGGACTTCTCCAACGCGACTGGAAATGTCGACGTTGTAGGCGTGGACAGCTATCCGTCTTGCTGGAGCTGCAACTTGAGCGAGTGCACCGGTACAAATGGACAGTACATCCCGTACTTGACCCAGAACTACTACGACTACTTCACGGTTCAGTCCCCGTCCCAGCCAAACTTCTTGCCAGAGTTCCAGGGAGGCTCTTACAACCCATGGGGTGGACCGGAGGGCGGCTGCCCAGGCGACATCGGTGTTGACTTTGCCAATATCTTCTACCGCGATCTCATCTACCAGAGAGTCACTGCAATCTCCCTGTACATGATGTTCGGCGGTACCAACTGGGGTTGGCTTGCTTGTCCTGTCGTCGGTAGGCACACTCTGCTTCCCAGCTGTTATTGATTTACTGACACACTGCCAGCCTCCAGCTACGATTACTCCTCCCCGGTATCCGAGAACAGAATTATCGGAAGCAAGTTCTACGAAACCAAGCTTTTGACCCTTTTCACGAGAGCGGCGAAGGACCTGACAAAGACGGAGAGAGTCGGAAATAGCACATCATACTCGAGTAACGCAGCCATCACCGTCGCCGAGCTGCGAAACGTAGACAATGACGCCGCCTTCTACGTCGCGCGCCACGCATATTCCCCTTCCAACACCAATGAAGCATTCAAACTCTCGGTCAACACGTCAGAGGGTGCCCTCACTATTCCTCAACACGGAAACTCCATCGCAATCAACGGACATTCGGCCAAGGTCATTGTCACCGATTTTACCTTTGGCGAGAAGAAGCTGCTTTACTCCACTGCCGAGGTTCTCAGCTACATCATCGTCGACGGCAAGGAGGTCATTGCTCTTTGGCTTCCCGAGGGTGAGGCCGGCGAGTTCGTGGTCAGCGGTACCACTTCTGCTGAGCTTGTTGGAGATGGAAACGTCGGCGATTTCCAGACCTTCGCAGGAGAGAGCAACGTCACCGTTGCATACACCCAGAAGAAGGGTATCACCATCGTCGATCTTGGAGATGGCTCGCGTGCTGTTTTGCTGGACCGCAATGCAGCTTACCTTTTCTGGGTCCCGACTCTCGACAATGACGTCTTGGCCCCTGCCAACAAGACCGTCTTTGTTCAAGGACCTTATCTTGTTCGTTCGGCTTCCTTCAACGAGACGGGTCGCAGCTTGGCTCTTTATGGAGACGCTGACAAGGAAACCACTGTCACTGTTTTTGCTTCTGAGTCCATCTGCGGTATTACTTGGAACGGCAAGAAGCTCGAGATTGCTTCGAGGGAGGGCAATGTCTTCACCGCGAAGATCGAGGGCCCTGCCGAATTCAGTCTTCCAGCTCTTGGCCCGTGGAAGGTCCACGATAGCTTGCCTGAGATCGCTACTGACTATAAGCCCACTTCTGACTCGTGGGTTGGTACGTAATACCTTACTTCTGATCACTCTTCCAAGTGCTGATACGTTACAGTTGCCGATAAGACCAACACTTCCAACACGGTCAAGCCTGCCTCGAACAACCCCGTGCTCTACGTCGACGAGTATGAAATTCACGTCGGAAACCACATCTACCGCGCTACCTTCCCAACCAGCGAAAACCCTCCTACCGGCGTGTTCCTGAACCTCACCGGAGGACTCGCCTTCGGCTACTCCGTCTGGCTGAACTCGGAGTACATCGGCTCCTACCTGGGTCTTTCCTACCTCGGTGCTGATGCCAGCGAGTTCTCTTTCGAGAACGCCACTTTGGCAAAGGAGGGCGACAACATTCTCGTCGTCGTTATGGACAACTCCGGTCACGACCTTCGCGAGGCTGCCCTTACCCCCCGTGGTATCACCAACGCAACTCTCCTCGGCCCCGACGCCTCTACGTACAAGTTCTCCGAATGGAAGATTGCCGGAACAGCAGGTCGCAACGACCTCATCGATACTGTCCGTGGCCCGATCAACGAGGGCGGTCTCTATGCCGAGCGCATTGGTGCAGCCCTTCCCGGCTTCCCCGACGAGGACTGGGAAACCCTCGGCTCTTCCAACGAGACACTCTCCGTGTCCGATGCCGGTATCAAGGTCTTCCGAACCGTCGTTCCCCTGGACGTTCCTGCCGGCCTTGACGTTTCCATCTCCTTCCGCCTTACCGCTTCGTCTAATGATACATTTGCGCCGACACAAGAGGGATACAGCAACCAGCTCCGTGCGCTGCTGTTCGTCAATGGGTACCAGTACGGCCGGTTCAACCCGTACATCGGCAACCAGATTCACTACCCTGTGCCGACCGGCATCCTCAACTACAACGGCGACAACACCATCGCAGTCACGATCTGGAGTCAGTCGGCTCAGGGCGCCGAGTTGAAGATTGAATGGCAGGCGGATTACGTGCACACTTCAAGCTTCGATATGAGCTTCGATAGCGAGGCGCTGCGGCCTGGCTGGGATGAGAGCCGTCTCCAGTATGCTTAGGGACGCCTGGAGGTGCAAGATTTACGAAGGTGAAAATTTTTCGTCTTTGCGTATGTAGAAATGTTCAAATTGGATGAAAAGTCGCAGTTCTCCACGTGGTTGTATCGTCGGGGCCGTCAAGGTGAATGTCTAAAAAGTGGGAGTTCAAATTTTGCTTGTTTTCGCATCTGAGATCACCACAATTCCTTTTTTTTTTTTGCCCCGACGTTCGTACAACGGTTGGGATCAATATTTAAGCATTTCGTCATCAAATGACCTATATCTTCCCGATTTGATGGCTCACTGCCTCGGCGTCAGTCGTCAACATGGCTTCCGAAATGCTGGCCACGACGGAACCCAAGTTCGAGCACTTCAACAGACTTCCAGCCGAGCTGCGCCAGATGATCTGGCTCTACGCCCTCGATGAGGCAGGTAATATGGTAACATGCCTTCCTGCCGCCGACCCTAACCTATACCAGCGCAAGAATCCCGCCGCATCAGCAGTCAACCGCGAGAGCAGAGCAGCCTTCCTCCGAGTGTACGAGCCCATTCACGATACTTCCAACTTGGTTCCCGAGCACGCTCCCGCCTGCGCCTATCTGAACCCGCGCATCGACAGCCTCTTGCTTGGCGACTACGGTGTCCCAGGTTTAACGGGTTACGCGCCGGTGTGCCCTCCGAGACTGAGCGAGCCGCACGCCAAGATGATACGCGAGGTCCGTCTACAGCAGCGCGATCTGAAAGTCTTCTCAATCAACAGGGGCGTCGGGGCCTGGACGCAAATAGCTTGCACACTGCACACAGGGCCCGCGGGTCTGGTTCACGAATGCCATCTTCGTGTTGCGAATCTGATTTACCCAAACCTGGACACCATCTGGATCACGAGCAGCTACAGCCGCATCTTCTTTCCTCAGAATTACCCTGGCTGGAACCGAGGACTGACTTTTCGGTACTGCGTACGCTCTGGCGAAGTCTACGTGCAGCGGATCAAGCAAGAGGACTACGAGGAGGGCATGCGCGTCTACAGAACGCCACAGGATCCTGCGCTTTTGTCGGTTGTGCGCGTCGACATCATTCGAAACGGAGGCTTCGGTGGAGGTGGCGAGGGGTGGCATCGGATTAATGTGGTTGGGCGCTATCACGACTTGAACGCGGTTTGGGAGTTCATTGTTCATTACATCGATTGCCGACTAAGTCACCTGGCGTGATCATATGAAAGCAGTTGAGCAGCCCTCGACATTTACCGACGCTTCACAAACTTGGTTGTCGGTTGCAGCATCACTTGTCGGTCCTCGCGTGGTCAAAAGGGCAACGTCCATTGCCTTCGAGGTGGATATCAAGCAGGGAAAGCATTGAGATAGCACTTAGTGTATTGAGCTACCAAATCATAGGCCTCCTGTGGGCATCGGAAGAATCATCCTGTACCGTTCCTTCCAATCTTGAGTGTACCAAATCCGCCTGTCCAATCGCCAGATCCCAAGACAAAACCCTGCCTTCCCAAGATGTACATCATGTGTGCGAGCAAGAGTGTGCCGAGCCAGTCTGTAGAATTTGTTAGAATGTTTGATCAGTGTGCTGTTGCCTTGGGTAGCATACCTTTGAGAAGACTAGATCTAGTCGCGGACGAGACGCTTCAGAAGGTACTCCGCAGAGAACGTCCAGACGAACTGGAACGGCTCGGAGGCCTTGTCGAAGGCGGCAGCATGAGTGTCGCCGTTGTTTACTGTCTGCCACTTAGTGATGTCGTGGACGAGATCGGGCTTGCGGTCGAAGAGGACCTCGACCTTGAAGACATCATCGCCAGACAGGCGAAGCTGGGTGCGCTCATCGATGATGGCGTCCTCAGGGATGGTGCCCTGGGAGACGAGAACGGTGTTGGTCTCGACGTGGTAGATGAACTTGAAGTCGGTGTAGCCGTTAAGCTCCTCGACGATGGAGGGAGCGACACTCTCACTGGTGATGGTGACGCGCTCGAGGTTCTTGTAGATGAGGCGGGTCACGTCGATCTCGACGGCGGGCATGGTAGGGTCGAACTCGAAAGAGGTGTAGCCAACCACGGGGGGGACATCGAAGTAATGAAGCCAGACGCGCTTGAGGCCGGTGATGAGAGAGTGCGACTTGGGCGGCTCGATCAGGTTCCACTCGCCGGAGACGGTCTCATATCCAAGATAGAGGACGTCTAGGTGAGGGTTGATGTAAACCCAGTCGGGCTCCTCTTCAGATCCGATCAGTACGAAGGGAAAGATGGAGTCGTAAAGCCGAAAGGCATGGATGCTGAAGACCCGACGGCTCTCCTTGCAAATGCGGGTGAGGATGCTCTGCTTACGAGGGGCATTGCGGTCGCGGCGAGGCGCGACGCCGACAAGACGACCGATATTCGCCTCGTTGAAGATTGATCGGCGAATCGACTCGGGGAGGGCGTCGAAGAGGAAGACGCGGTGGCCAACGTTGTTCGCCGCCATGTTGTGTGAGGTTGTTGGTGGTGATGTAGAAGAGGAGAGGAAATGTGAAAGTTGGGAGGTATGGGGGAAAGTAGGAAGAGAAAAACTTTCTGCTCCTCCCATCCCCAGGTTTTATTCTGTGTCTGTCCTGCTGAGTCGTCGAGGGTTGTCTGTCCGAAAGGGTCTGTTTGCTCTCATGCTGCTATGGTTGCTATGGTTGCTGATGTGGATGTGCTCTTCAAGGCAGGAGGCGTGGGTTTCTGTCGATATCACCATCAATACCAGGGGCTCTCGCTGTTTTGGTTCTTCAGCATGAAATCTCTGCACATGAAATGCTTTGACCAAACATCAAGTGCACCTTCACCGACAGGACACTACTTGGAGAATTACGCTTGGGGTCTTGAGTATCTCAAAGGCATCACCAGAAAGGGGAAACTTGGAGCATCAGAGCAACTTTCAAAAGATGATTGAAAACCCTTGCGTATAAGACGATAGGTGATAGGTTCCCGATCAATCTAATAAAGAATGTCTGTCACTGGAGGAGAAAGAGAATTGAGAGAGCAAGGAAAGTGAATAATAAAGGGGTGAATGCTGTGAGGCTTTAACCTCTGCGGCAAAGATTGCTCTTTCTCTTTCAGACTCACAATCATCTCAAAGAAGGGTGAAGAAGTAGGTGGTGATCTGTGAAGTTTGAGGGCTTTCGGCTCCGTGCTGTGAAGCCGGAAGGGGGCTCCGGTACACTCCGGAGGAACACGGCCCCACTCCGGAGGCACCTGCCCAGCAGGGAAGGAGACACTCCGGAGCAGTGCCGCAGTCAGCCAAGGTAAGGTAAGGTACCTACCTACCTACCCAAGGCAAGCACCGGGATACTTCCTTCCTTCTTCTCTAGCAGCAAAAACAAACAAAGCCGGTCTGGCCAGATCAGATCTTTGACGTCAACCTCAAAAATCATTCGTCTTCCCCTGCTTGACTCGGGCCATTGCTGCCACCCGAATCCGGTACGATGCTGACCTCTCCGAGAAACATCGCCGGCTTCAAGGCATATCTAAATCCGCTGCCCCGGCCTCAGCTCCGTCTCCAGGTCCATTTCGGTGGCCGCGGTCGCCGTTAGAGTATAGCGACGATTCTCCACCAGCTGGACGAAACAGGCAGGGTTTCGGCGAGTTCGTCTTGTGGAGGAATGGGACGCCAACATCGCAAAACATGCATGCTCAACATGGTGCAGAGATGCGAAATCGATTTGGTCTCATGGCCAGCTCCAAGTGCTCAGCAATCTTTCTCGATGAAATCTGGCCCCTTCCTGAGATATCTCTGAGCTGCTGAATGCCCCGGTTGGAAGTTGAACTTCTAGGAAGGCTTCGTCGCCCTGACCGTGCCAGAGAAGGCAGCGAGAGTGCGAAACCGCTTTGTCCACCCACATCACGCTCGGATTCAAGGCAACCCAGCCAGATGAACGCATCAAGCAGCCCGCGGGCACCGACTTATGGGGATAAATGCGTCGATTCCAACGTGAAAACAAGCGATCAATGGGGTTGCTGTCAGCAAACTACATAAGAGCGGTCTTAGGTCCGCTAAAGCCGCTGGCGTGGACCTTCAGCGGCTCAGTGCGCCCACTGAATCGTCGCAGCATACTTACATTGAACGCGAGATTCAGAAATGAAGGAATATAAACCAGAGACCGTCGAGATGATGGTGCATCCCATCGAGACACCTTCATCTCATGCGCGATTTCTAGTTTGACCAGAAGCTACGAGCAGAAACCTAACATCATGGTTAACGTCGCGATCGCAGGCGGTACCGGCGCCGTGGGCAAGACCCTCATCGAGGTGATGGCTTCGCAGACGAAACATCAAGCCGTCGTCCTCACCCGCAAGGTATTGACTCCCGCACGAAGTTTGCCAAAGTTGCCTCGATACTGATTGCACGTCCTCAGGCGCCCAGCCCGGACGAAGAGGCTCTCGCGCCGACTTACCAGGTCGACTACTCCAACGTCGCCTCTCTCAAGGGCCTTCCTCGAAGAACACAACATCCACACCGTCATCAGCGCCTTTGGCATCAACGCCACCTCGCTCGCGACATCTCAACTCAACCTCATCAAAGCCGCCGACGAGTCCTCGGTCACGAAGCGCTTCATCCCCAGCTCCTTCGCCATGCGCTACCCCGAAGAGTAGGCCCAACCTCATCGTCCCAATTTTGACCAGGGTAACTGACCAACGCCCCGATAACAGCGGCGTCAAGATCCTCCCTCCCCTCGAACACTACTTCACCTCCCTCACAGCGCTGTCCTCGACGACCCTCGAATGGGCCGTCGTCCTCAACGGCACGTTCCTCGAATACTTCGCCCCGGCCGCCCTCAAATCCCACCACCCGCACAGTGTCATCGTCCTCGATATGCACCACAACGCGGCCGCGATCCCGGGCGACGGCAACACTCCCGTGACCTTCACCTACACCTTCGACGTGGCGCGCTTCGTCGTCGCGGCGCTGGACCTCGAGCGTTGGCCGGCGGACCACGAGCTGCGCATCGTCGGCGACGAGCTCACCTTCAACGACTTTGTCAAGATGGCCGAGGAGGTCAAGGGCGTCAAGTTCGACGTCGTGTATGATGATGTGGAGAAGGTGAGGGCGTCGCAGATCTCGGAGCTGCCCGGGCACAAGGCCTCGTACGACAAGTTCCCCAAGGAGCAGCTGCAGTGGTTCCTCGCTATTTTCGAGCTGTGGATGGCGACCGGGCTGGGCAAGGTTGAGAGGGAGGGCAGTCTGAATGAGATGTTCCCCGAGATCAAGCCGCTGACGGCGCGGGAGATGCTGGAGAAGTACTGGAAGTCATGAGATAAAATAGGGTTGGAGGATGAGAAAAGAAATCTATGATACATCGCGCGCCCGTGGCGCCGTAAGTGACCAGGGCACTGTCTCCTGGGCTGTTTAGGGGCCAATGACAGCGGGCTGCTCTACTGAACCACTGTCCATGCCTAACCTAATGACGCTGGAACGGACCTGATGGCCATCCTGGAACACCCCGACAATGTCCGGGCATGCCCGTATTCTTCAAGGCCTAAAAGCCGAATCCTCCAAATGCTTTACTGACGCTGTTCACAGCCACGCATAGAAGTACGCCAAAAAGGCAAAAGGAAACGCCGACCTACCCAGGGATCGAACCTAGAATCTTCAGAGTATGACTAGAAAGCCGAAATCTGACGCGATGCCATTTCGCCAGCAGGCCATGCTGGATTGATGACTAACAAACAGACAAATGCAACTTAAGTAGGGAAGAGGGGGGCGGGCTAGACCGTTGAGGCGATTGATCGTCCCACTCACGATGTGGAGACCGGAGGCTTGTCTGCCTGCGTGATGTGGACGTTGGTGGGCATGTTTCTGTGTCCAACCCAGGAAATGCGGTTCCGCTTATTGAAGAATGCTTCAAGAATCAAGCTGACTACAGAAATGATACATTCGGAGTACTGGGTATCAAAAACGCATCACGATGCTTCCTCTTTAGGGGGCTCTGCGTTGGAGATCTCGGTCGTCTCTTCACCCTTCGCACCCTCCTTGGCCGCCTCAGGGTCCCACACCGCTTCAATGATGCTCATCCTACATCCCTTGGGCCGCAAAATCTTAGTCAGGACGAATCGCTCGTCGGCCGCCTTAAAGAGAGCCCGGTACTCGTCCTCATTACGCTCCTGCGCGTTCAGCACAGCCAGCATGACCATGTCCATTCCACGCATAATCCTTTCATCCCATGGGTTCTCTTCTCCAGGTTGGCGTAGGCACTGATCCTTGATTACAACCTTCGCGCCGGGCTTCAACGCAGGAACCAGATTCTTGAGGATAGAAACAGCGTAAGGCGTGGAGTAGTTGTGCATGATCCATCGGAAAAAGAAAACTGTTGAAGGAGTAAAGTCAGTCGCTTTCTGTGAACCAATATCAGGCACTAGAGGACTCACTATCGGCATCCTTCACAGTTTGTTCTTTGAAGAAGTCGTGTGCCATGAACTCGATGCGTTCGGCGATCTGGGTGTTGTCCGACACCGGCTTCGGGGCTGAGTCAACCGTTTTCTGAAGATCCTGTACGACGAACTTCATATTCTTCCACTTCTTTGCCAAGTCGACGCAAACGAAGCCCTGGCTGCCGCCGATATCCACCAGCGTTCCGCCTCTAGCATCAATGTCGCTAAAGTCGTATGAATCAACGAGGTGCTTGACTTCGTAGCCCTCGCCGCCTGTGAGACTGACCATGGCGCCGCCGAAACGCTTAGCTCGAGCCGGATCCTTGCCAAAGGTGACGAACATCGGCTCCTTGTCCACGGTATCAAATGCGAAGTTGAAGCCAGTCCGTGTGAGTGAAGTGGCCTCTGGATAGGCTTTGAGGGCTTGGAGAACATGAGCAGAGGCGGGGAAGTTGTCTTCAAGGTTGTAGCCAACCCAGTCCTGGAGCGACTGGTCCTCTGCCAACAGGCGGGACGCTGCAGTATGAGCGATCACGCCCGGCGAAGGCTCGCGGAAAATTCGGTTTGTCATAGCATGGCGAAGTACACGCGCGAGGTTGACAGCGTCGAGAGTGGTCTTGGTCTGCAATTCCACCAACGTGATAGTGCCGTCGATTGGCACGAGTTTCGCTTTGCAATGTTAGTGTCAAGACGCACGAAGATGGGCAGCTTGTTGCTTACCGAGACCAAAGTGGTTGACCAATTGAAGGCTCAAGCTGTCTTGCCACTGTCGAATAGTTAGCTCGGAAATTCAACAGTAGCAGACCGCAACGTACGCTCCAAGCCTTCCACCTGACGTCTTCTCGGGGTCCATGAACCAAAGCCTCCAGCTCTCTAGTCGCAAACATGATCTCCATCCGGCTCTTCTGAATGTCCTCGGGAAGCTTGGGAAAGTCAAGGGGTCCGTTGGGGTCCAGACTCGGCAATTGCATGCCATTTTCCTTCATGTACTTTTCCAACTTTTCGGTCTCCACCGCGATCTTCTTAGCAAGCTCTGTCAGTCTTGAAGACGAACTTGCAGGCTCGTTTGCCGCTGAGACTTCCCCCTTGGTAACCTCATCTTTAGGAGTACCGTTTGACCGAGAAGAAAAGGGTGACAAGGACAGGCGGTTCTGCTTCTTGCCTTCGGCCTCTCCGGTGTTTGATGACGGACTGGTGTTGAGCCACGAGCTGAGCTTGAATTTTGTCATTTTACAGGTGGATTTTGTAGCAAGATTTGCTTCACCCGGTCTATTACGATTAAGAGTTCCTTTTTCATGTCAGCACATCCTCACTTCAGTTAACGAGCAACGCAAGAGATGTTCAGTCCTCCTTCACTAGCATCCCAGCACCACTAGCTGTAGACACAGCCATGCTTGGCTGTCTGAGCCGCACAACTTTGCAGACTGCTCATAGCCTCGCTGCATGGTTGGAACACCAGAAGTCTCTGAGAAGCCAATTTCAACTCTGATAGATTGCTTCCCCTGCTCTATTATCTGCCGGAGATGAATGACATGCGAGTTTCACTGACCGTCAAGTTTGAAGGACGTTAAAACCAACGCTACGCCTATCAGTGCTGTGCTGGCAGGCTCGGGACAAAATCAACGCTCGATGCTTTGGACGGTAGTGATGCCGCTCGGGCCGTTGTGACACGAGGAAACCCGAGGCCTCGGACTTGGGCTTGATTGACGTAGGTTTCGGGGTATGTGTCACAGAGAGATCAGACACGGCGGCTCTGCGACACAGGACGGCAACCAGGAGATTCGGTCGAGATTTTTCTTCGGGGGAAGGAAAGCTCGCGCCATCATGACCCAGGCGTCTGGGAAGGTGTCTGTTTTTAAGGATGGGCCCAGATGTCAATAACGGCCCCTCCTGTGCTCCTGGGTGACGGGTCCTGGATGTGGGCGGGACAGGACCAGACCGGGATGGGTGCTGAATCGTTGCGACGATATCAACTAGCGCGGCCCATGCTTCTGCGGTCCGACGCCATTGGTGTCTTGTTCATGGGCCGTTTCCTTGTTCCCCGTCTCTTTTGTAGCTAGTGGGCTTCCACCCGCTCTTTGGAGTCCAGCGCCGCCCGGAGGCGACGGACGATCGCGGAGGTCATGGACCTGGCTGGAAGGTGTTCCTGAGACGATGGCCACGGGAGCATGGTTCCATACGACGGTGCAATGGACTAGCAGCTCTTGGGACTGCGAGAAGAGAGGGAAGGTCGAAGGATGGCAACTTGACAGGCGGTAGTCGATTGTGGCGTGGTATTCGTCCATCCCACTAGTGTAATCGACTTCCTGGCACCCTTGAAGGCCTGGATGGGAACATACTGCATAGTACCACCAATGGAGGTAATTAGTAAACCATCCGAACGGGAGAAACGGCTGGGCGACGTTGATAGCAGCGGCGGTGAGAAGTCTATCTCCATCGTTCAGGGACTGTCGCGGACTGTAACGGCGGTAGACAGGGGGCGGGGGGTGAAGACAGGAAAGACAGGAAAGACAGAAAAGACAGAAAAGACAGAAAAGACAGCACCAGGACAGGTTCCACTGGGACGGGTCGGCAAGCATGCGTCTGCGGGCACTGGGAACACAACAGCTCCCCTCCCCCGCCGGCATTTGGGCGAAGAATGGACTTGGAAGGGCACTTCTGGCCAATCATGCCCTGTATTGCAGCACCTACCTTACCTACCATGTTCCATTGTTTCAGCGAGCCAGGACACCGGTCGCTGTCGTCCCCACTCTGCGGGCGGGCACCTCAGTGGACGGGAGGGTGTTCCGCCATTCTGGAACTGGAAACAGCGTCCACCCGACGTCTTTGGCACGCGATGCCACCCACCCACCACTACTACGCAGTACACCACCTCCTCCCTCTAAGTCCTCACAGGCTTCAAACTTGGGCCCAATCCATCCAATCTGCAACTCCCCTCAACAACACCCATCGACTTCTCCTCACCCGATCCCACGACGATGCAGCACCCCCTCTGCAGCAACGACTATTTGGCAAGACCATCATGCTTCTTCCGGATACGCTTGCAGAATGCTGCACCTAAGAACCTTAGAGCCCCTCCCAATCGCCACCGGTTTGCCAAGGACCTTGAAGTTGGACCGTCTCCAAAACCATGCCACACCACACCACACCACCACCACGCAACCAGCGACGCCAAACCCGTACGTCCGTATCCGCGGAGAAGAAACACAGTCGGACCTGCATCCAACCTGCTTGCGGTCTCATCGCTACTTTGTTAGCATCCGCTTTGCTCAAGATCACGACACATCATGCAATTACGACTGGGCAAAAAATAATTGTCTGCGTTAACCGCATCGACTATCCTACACATCCACAAACTCCACCGGCTTCTGCCCATAGACCACCTTGAGTGGCATATACATCAGCACAGAATTGTCATAATACGCCTTCCTGACGTTGACGAGGAAAAGCTCCGTTTGCTCCGCCGACCAATGTAGGCCCCGCGTGAAAGGCCCCAACGCGATGGCCTGGAGTCCATCCAGGAGGATCGTACGCCAGTACATCCCCACGGTCTTGAGCACCCTGTTACGCGGCCATGTTCCTATGGGAACGTGGAAAACTCTCTCCGTCACATTGCAGAATCCTGCTTCGCGCATCATGTTCGCCAGCCGGTCCCCCGCCGCCAACTCCAAGTCGACTCCGAGCTTCATCAGCCCTTCACCCACGAGACCCCAATACTCAGCAACGGGGTGCGTTGCCGATAGTGAATTGTTGGCCGAGGCCGGGAAATGGTGCATTTCCTGCAACTCCATCCAGCCTCCAGGCTTAAGGTGTCTGAGTCCTTGTTAGCAGTGGCATGGATGCTGGGCGTGACGTGTCACTCACTCGAGGGACCTCTGGAGGAGCGTCTCCCAGTCCTTGATGGCCACAACGGTGTGCCGCGAGTGAATGTAATCAAAGTGGTTTGCATTATACAGCCACGCACTTTCGACATCGTCAACCTCGAACTTGACGTTTGGCGGCACCCAGTCTGGCTGAATAGGGCTGAGATCCACACCGAGAACCTGGGCACTTGGATATTGGTCGCCCACTTCTCTGTCATTAGCAGATTCGATTTGCACGGCTGCCTTCACTTACTCTCAATAGCCCAAGCGCCTGTACCGGTTCCGAGATCCAGTATGTTCTGAGGGAAACGCCCGATCGGTGCAAAGTTGAGCTTCTGGCTACAAAGTAGCTTGACCATGGCATGTTTCATGTCCTCGCGCTCCTGCTCGACCTCATCATTCGGGAAGTTGTACCGCCCTTCTCGGAAACGATGATATCGCCGCCCGTTTTCGTACATGAAGTCTCTCACCGACGACGTAATTGATGTGCTGCCATTCGACTCAGTGTCTGTGTCATAACCAGCATCAGATGAGTCTCTCGCGTCGAAAAGATTCAGCTCGTTCCTGTCAACCGCAATGAAGCCCTCGGCTTGCGTTGTGGCCTCTGAAGACTCTTGTGCTTGCTGCTCAGCAGACATGTCGGGCAGAATGCGGACTCCATTGGGATGCGTCAAATGAGGCTCGAACGCCGCAGAACGGTTGCCACGGGGCGATAGCGAGTTGCGTTGAGAGTAGTCGTCGGTGTATTCAATGCCGGAGGTCCCGTTTCCATCGCGGTTTGCCGTGCCGGTTCCTGTCATGAGCGCTTCGATGGGCTCATCGGGTGACCAGTAAGGGTCTCGCGACTCTGTTGATGACCCGACCGCATCGACGACAGGGTCGAAGAAGGCGCGCGTCGAGGGCTCAACCGCAGCGGTTCCTGACATGATGTGGTCTTCTGCGGCGTTCTGGACGTTGACATTCTCATCCCAGGGCTTGAGACCTTGTCCGAAAGCCGCACCATGTGTCGTCGAGTTTACATCTCGGCGAGGGATGGAATGGTTGACCAGATTTCTGGGTGGTGGGTGCCACCCTCGCCCGCTCGCGGCCAATGTCTCAGACACCAGATCAGTAATATCAGTCGCGTATCCCGCCTCGTGCCTGGGGCTGTCCAACCTGTCACTCCTACTGGATGACATGGGCATGTCACTCTCGGCGGCGGCGTCCATTGCCTGTCGTGCAGCGTGGGCGTCAAATAATCATCGCCAGGCAGCAATACTGATAATTGCTTTTTCTGATGCGTTGGCTTCGCAGAGCTGGTTGGTGGTGGTCGAGGGTGCTGAAAGATGCAATCACATGCTAACCCAGCCAATGACAAGGTAATTGGCGTTCCTTTAAACGACGAATGGACCCTTTATGACGAACGACCTCTGTTGCATGGCCTCAGCTGTGGCAGTAGTCTCATCCATGCTATGTATGCCATGCCATGCGTGCCACACCACAACCGGCCAGGGGAATCCGCGGCCGTGCTCAAGCGGGCGGAAAGGCCTCCGCATTTAGCTCACGCTTGGTCAACCAGCAGGCAGCAGAAAGTGGCACGATGTTCAAGTCAGCACCGGCACGAAAGCTTGCATTGCAGTGCTATCCGCAGTACCGATGAGGGTAGCAGAGAGCTGACATGAATGCTCACATCTGAGCGCAAATAAGCTCAATCTTGTCGCCAAGGCGGGAGGATCGGGGTGATCCCCCCAAAGGCGCTAACCCGTCTCACATCCCCGATGCGCCGTCAGTGCAGCCTCCTGGTCATGTTACGAGGGGCTGGAACATCCACTTTGATCCGAGCTGCATCGGGAGATATTCGCGTCTAAATCAAACGTCCTCTGCACGCTGATATCTTCATGTCAGTCTTTCTTCTCAGCCCCATGGCAATATTCTACGATATTCCACAGGTTCTGAATCAGTACCACGGCTAAGATCCTCCGCCTAGGGGCCCGTGACTGCGCCGCGTCATCCGTGATATCTCTTTTCTCGGGCGGGATGTAGTTGCTTGGGTGCTTGTCGGTAGGATTGGGCGGTTCTATATCGCCTCGCCATCCGTACTTGGACCCGCCATACGGCTCAGAGGGCTTTTTGTGAGGGATGAGGGAAAAGCACCAACTCTTTGTCCTTGGGGTAGAGAAGTTGGGTGGTTGCGGAGTCTGCACTGGACATGGTGGCTCAAAAATGTTGGCGATCAGCGTGGGTTGTGTGTAGTTGGAGTCGGCCTCGGAAAAGCCACAGGTAGAGGTGATAACAGAACTGAGATAGTGCAAGTAGAAACCCATGAATGAGGTGAAGGCAGGAAGAGTGACGTGGAGATGGGAGACAGTCTGGTCTGTTCCAATGCTAAGAGATTCCGAAAAGGTCTTCCAACACAGGTTTCGTATGGTCATTGATTTAAATGGGCTCTTTTTGCAAACTTGCATGTCAGTACTGATCAAAGGGCTAGCAGGATTGTGTGGTGCATCAAGGTTGTCGCGTAAATACGTTGAATGTTCTCTACTTGGTTCATAACTTCGAATATACTATCGCATCCCCTTATTAAGAAGAATGCTGAGCTATGCCAAGCTCCTCCACTGTCCTCCTCCAACACACATGTCCTGTACTTTTGCTTAGTCTATACGGGGAGGTAATGCACAGCCGCGCCATCGGGGCAGCTCCAACACGCAGGCTCATCCATGACATTGTCCTTGTACGCCCGGCCTGCGACCGCCGAGTCGCCGATGGTATCCCAGACGGCCAAGCTGTAGATACCGCACCAACCGGATCCCGGGACCCACGTCCAGCTCTTGCAAGCTGCTCCGAGGCTCAGGCAATACGCGGCACAGTCGGTCTGGGCGTATAGATAGCTACCCTGCACCCCGCCGGCTGGTTGCTGGAAGCCCTTCACGTTGCAATTTGCCGTGGCAGGCGGCGAAGCAGCCCGGGAACACACCGCAGCAGCCGCGGACGTGCTCGAGGATGCCGCGCTCTGCGACTTTGAGCTGGCGGGCGTCGTGGAGGTTGGCGATGCGGTGGCTTGCGGGTAGCCGACGAAGAGCGGAAGCGAGGATGAGGAAGAGCTCGACGAAGAGAACGAGGATGAAGATGAAGACAAGACGTTTGCTGGGACGATGTTGGCGCAGTTGTGGCAGAGCATACTCATCCATACGACCGGCCTGTAGTCCACAGAAGGCGACAGGGACTTGAGCAGTGTCATGACGGGGAGGTTGTAGAAGTTGCAGTTCCAGGAGACGGTGCTGGTGCGGTCGAGGGCGTATCCCTGGCAGCCGGAGATTCCGGCGCAGATGACTGCGCAGCGCTGATACGACGGGTCGAAGTTGTAGTCGCCCAAGACGTTGGGGGCGATGCCCGTTGCGACGGCAATGAGACCCTGCGTCACTGTCGGATAGCCGGACTGGATGCAGCCGTTGGTGTACCATTGAGCCCCGGTCGGTTGACCGCAGGATGTAGTCGACGCCGGCGCGGAGAATGTTGTCACTGTGCCTGCTGGAGCTGAAGTGGTGGCGAGGGCGGTGACTGTTCCAGATGGTCCTGAAGTTGAGGAGGAGGTCGAAGAAGAACTGCTGCTGAACGAGGTGCTCGTCGCAGATGAGATGGTGCTACTTCTGCTGCTGCTACTGCTGCTGCTAATTGCTAAGATGTTCACGCTGCTGCTGACAGAGGACGCGATCGCCTGGTTGAGGGTGCAATTGTAACATTCCGTCACTCCCCATGCGAACTTGGCATACGCGGAGCCATATGAGGTGAGGCGGAAGTAGTTGCCAGGAAGGTTGTAGTTGCTCGAGTTGACAAAGTTGTACATGTAGCACGACCATGGAGACAGGTCGGTGGGCCAGTTTCCACGATCGATGGCCCAGGTGGTGCAGCCGTTCACACCGCGGCAAGCGCCGGCGCAGACCTCGAAAGGCTTGCTGAAGTCAAACACCCCCGATGGAGCCGGAGCAATGCCTGTCGCTACAGCCAGGAGACCGGACTGCGAAGTCGGGGTCGGCCAGCCGGAGAGGGCGCAAGGGGTCGCGCCGTCGTTGTTGCGCTGCGTTACGCAGGTGCCAGAGGTCCAGGCTGAGGCCGAGAAGACGTAGGCCTCGGAGGGCGGCCTTGTTGTTGCTGGCGCGGCTGTTGTGGGAGAGGCAGTGCTCGACGTGGATGATGCAGCGTTTGCGTTGAAAGTTGACGAAGCGGCAGTAGATATCGAAGATGCCGCGCTACTGGTCGATGACCCAGCGCTGGTAGATGAAGTAGCCGCTGGGGCGATGGATGACGATGTTGACGGAGTAGGTGACGAGATCGCTGCAGCAGGAGTGCTGCAAGCGTAGCACTGCTTGTCCATCCAGACGATCCAGTAGTTGCCGTCGTTCTGGGGAGTCATCAGCCTCGCGCCGGCGGAGTAAAAGTAGCACGTCCAGTCAGAGTAGTCGGCCGGCCAGAATCCTCTATCAAGGGCCCAGCTGTAGCAGGTGGACATTGACGCACACATCTGCGCGCAAGCTTGGTAGGCGTACTCGAATAGGTTGCTGTTCTGAACTCGCGGAGCCGGAACACCTGTGGCGACGGCAACGAGTCCGGAGGTCTGGAGGACGCCGCCGGAGAGAGTACATCCGGCAGTGTACCAGTTGTCAGCCGTCGGTCGGGGGCAGTTTGTCTCCGTCACCGTGGTCGGCACGGCGAGGGTCGGGATCCATGAGAATGGGGTGATGGCGCCAGGTCTGACGGCCTTTGTGGAGCTGGGCGTGACCTGAGGTTGAGAGCTCGACGGAGGCGATGACACTGCAGTTGGCACCGAGGTGCTGGTAGTCGAGACAGGCGATGAAGTGGAAGATTGCCGTATCGTCGTTGAGCTTATCAAGGGCAGCGTGGACATTGAAGCAGCCTTGCAATTGTAGCATCCCGCCGAGAAATACGCAACCGAACGATAGTTGTTGTCAAATGTTGTCCAATAGTCTCGCGCGTCACCGCCATAGATGTAACAAATCATTGATGTGCCTTGATCAAGAGCGTACGCTGTGCATCCAGGCACCTGTTTGCAAGCTTGGGCACACTGCTTGAACGGCCCCTCCGAGCTAACAAATCCTGTGATGCCCGTCGCGACCGCAAGGAGGCCGGATGTTGCCACAGGAGCACCGGACAGATAGCAATCTGGCGGCGTTCCGAACGTGCAAGCAGCAGAATCGTAAGCCGGCGCAGAGAAGGTCAGAACACCGGGGATGACTGGAGCTTGTGTCACGGCGGGTACGCTCGGAGAAGACGACGAGGTTGTGGACGTAGTTGCCGCCACAGGCGCAGGAGCAAGGGCAGCTAGGTCTCGTTGCTGGCAGCTGTAGCAAGTCTTTGCAAAGTAGACGACGGCGGCGAACTGAGCGTTGTAAGCGTTGGGATGGTATTTTCCAACCAGGCCCGAGTAGAAGTAGCACCACCATGTGGAGGCTGTGGTATCGGGGTACACACCGACGCCGCGATCCAGTGCCCAGGAGTTGCACGAGTCGAGGTTGGCGCAGATGCCGGCACACTGCTCATACGCTTGCTGCATGTTGCCAGAGGCAGGTACAGGAGATGCAGTGGCCTTTCCGACGATGTCGATGGTCGCTACAGGCATCCCAGACATTGTGCAAGTCGACATATACCCGGGACTGCTGCATGTCCCAGCCTGGTACACCCCCGCGAGGTACGTGGGTACGTTCGTCGCAGCCGGAGCAGCGGTTGTCGATGGAGCGTTTGTTGTGGCAGGTGGGACATACGTTGCCCACCCAGCATTGCTTGATGTGCTTGATATGCGAGAAGAGCTGGTGCTTGTTGTTGAAGGTGTTGCTTGGATGATCACCACGGTTGACGAGACAATGACGGTCGAGCTGCTGGAGGCAGAGCTCGATGACGGAGCTGGTGCAACAGCAACATCTCCAATGACGATGGGTACTGCAGTGGCAGGGCAGTACTGAACGATGATCAAGGTCGTGATACCGGCGCTGGTAGGCATGCTGGTCACCGTGGTGTAGCTTCCATCCGTTGTCCAGATCCTGCTCGAATAGATGACGGTGCTTCCAATCATCATTGTCAAGGTACACTCGGACAGGACAGCTCGCTTCGTCGCTCGCTTCTTCAAAGCCTCAGTCTTGTAAGTCAACTGTACCACAACGGAGTCTTCACTCTGCAGGTCAGGAGCAGACGCGGCGGCGACTGTGACAGAGGCCTGGCCATTGTCTGGTGGCGTAAGATCACTGCGGCCTCCATTAGAATTTCTTCAGCACATATCTCTGGTGAAAACTTACACTACAGTCTTCCCATCAACGGTTTGAAGCTGAGAGTTGTCGCCAATAGTGGCACCAGCTAGTGACGCGCTGACAGCGTGGGGCAATATAGCATCATTGGGAGCGGAGTTGGCTGAAGGCAGAGTCAACGAAGTGGAGGATCCGGAAGCAGTCGAGGATGTCGAGGATGCCCCGGCAGAGGAAGTCGATGACGGCGCGGGGCTATACTTGTACATATCCAAACGGTTGGGTCCTCCGCAACTCTGACTGGCGTCGCCCATACATTTCATGTTGCAGGTCGAAGAACCTGCAGACGTAGCAAGCGGGTTTACGGTGTTACCCGCCCAGCACTCACGCGAGTACTCGATTCCAAAGTCGAGGTATCCCTTTGATATAGCCCAGTCTGCGCACTTCTTGATAGTCATGTCGTCGGAAGCATAGAGGTCGCCAAACGTTCTGCCGTTGGCGGCATCGTCAGTCCAGCATCCGAGGTGGATGAAGTCGCCCACGCGATCGACAGCCGTGCTGGCTGCGCTGGGGGCAACTGAAGGAGCTGAATTTGCGCTGGAGACTCCATTGGCAGTGTCCAATGTATACATGTTCAACCGAGCTGGGCCACCGCAGAGGCTGGTAGAGTCTCCTGCGCAAGCCATGTTGCAGTCTGTTTGCTGAGTGGCTGGCAGACTCAGCGAGCCAAGCACATTTCCACACCAACATTCCTTTCCTATGCAATATCAGATCAGAAGTTGAAATGAAGTTGTCCGCTAGGACTGCTTACCGTATTCAACGCCCATCCACGCACTGCCGGCACAAAATGTGGCACACATATCAGGTGTCATGGCATCATCAGCACGCGTTCTGGACAAGGCACGTTGGCCCTGAACAAGATCACTGTAACATCCCGCAGAAACATAGCTCCCTGCCTTGGCCTTTGCAGAAGGACCGGCAGGAGTCACAATGTTCTCGTTCTTGTAAACGCTTAGTCTGTTTCCAGCACCACATTTCTGAAAGCCGTTGCCAGGGCAGGCGAATGAGCACTCGGTGTCATCTGCGGCAAGAGTAGCAGCAGCAGACAGCTTGCTTCCACACCTGTGTTTTGTTAGTGTCGTAGGCAGAAGACCCTTCAGGGGCTCACTTGCCAGCACTCTCTTCCATACTCAGCACCAAAGTATGCCTTGCCAGCCGCAGCACAGATGTCGGCACATGCTCCCAGCGTCAAGCCGTCGCTGCCAGTGACAGTCTCAAGAGCACGTCCGTTCGAGGGTTCCATATAACTTCACAGAGTTAGGCATCTTCTTCTAGATAGTGGAGGGCTAAAGCTCACCATCCTTGGTACGTGTAGCCATGTTGTGCGGGCAGCGAGACAGCTCGCGGGCCATTGAATGGAACAGATATGACAGTCTGGGCTTGCAATGCTAGCAAGACCGCAGAGCCCAGACCAAAGAAATGAGTGGATCTGGCCATCTTGGACGATAAGCTCGGGGAAAGAGTGTAAATGCGGAAACCGCAGTATAGAGAACGAAAGATCGGATGGACAGCGGGATGGCAAGTATGTCCTACCAACCGGCATGGATTCCGGTTCCCTTAAGTAACGATTGCAATGTCCTCCACGACCTGTATTCTAGCTTCTCGACTTCTGAATCCAGCTTCCACCCTTTTCCGTATTCCACTTGAGACCGACGCCTCAAGACTACTTCTGACGCGGCCCATCCCACAGAGCTTAGGCGATCCGGGTTAGAATTCGTAGCCAGCTGGAGGGAACCATCGCTATTCGGAAAGAGAAGTTACAGAACGATGTCGATTCCGGAAACCTATCCGAGTCCAAAGTAGTAAAGTGCTCAAAGTAGATTTAGCCAGGGGTAAACCGCCATGTGGCTGGCCAAGAGCTCTCCGGTGATGGCTCGGGTGGCATCCAATGACTGGCAAGATCGTGACAAGCTAACTTAGCCACCACTTAGCTTGCAAATAGCCTCAGAGAGTTTCCCGCAGCCATGGCGAGGTAGATGAAGAGAACATTGCCAAGAAAAGAAATAATGGCGCTGGGCACCGTCCCGCGTTGAGCGAGCTGCAGGGGCCGCCGCTTGGCGTCAGGAGACAATGAGAGCACATCGGATTGTTGTTCACAGAGACCGATACGGATGAGTCGGCATGGACGAGAAGATGGCTTGCCAAATTCCATACTGGCGGGATTGTCACGAGGGGTTCGTGGGGATGCCCCTCCTTTGGACCCTGATCGTCGGGCAGGCCTGTGTGTTTTCAGGCTCTCGGCCTCAGCCCAGACTATCGACCACAGGTTTTATGCTTTGATACAGCCTAGAAGGCATCTCGACCCACCTGTCATAAGTCAGAAAAGTCGGCATGACAGCTTTGTCACTTTGTGGGACAGCTCCAGATGGATCGCGGAGTCTGGCATGCCTGGCCCCGACCGAACTGCCGCGCATGTCAGACCTGACAGGAGGAGAGTCAGTCGCGGGTGCTACCGGCGTGGGGTCCAGCCGGCTGGATCGCTTCGCTGCTTCACCCTGAGGCTAAAACAAGCCTTCATTGCAAAAACCAAACCGTCGAGCCCGTTCACTGCCGCTTCAGGCTTTAGCGTCGCCTAGCTCTCAGCTGAGCTCCAAGTCGGCGGGAGTTTACCTCCAAGCGAGCAAACAACATCGAAATGCCGAATAAGCTTGCTTGTCATGCTTGTTTCGGGTGCCATAGCAATGCGAACTGCGAATTCGGCATGCGGTTGAAGCTGGTAAACTGAGTTTAGGGACCACGATGGAGACGCCAGAACGGAGGCTCAGGGGCAGCTCTTGCTTAGTCATGTATTTCGCACGGGCCACTGAAACTTCACCGTGTGACGGGCTCTCTGACCGACTGACCTAGAACTAAATCTTTCGACATTCCTGGTACCCCCGAAGACGAAGTCGCAAGCACCCTTGATCGGCGAACTACATTGCCCTCTGCAAAAACCACCCCAAGATATGCAAAAGTGGTGCACGGCAACCGTATATCATGTCACGTTCAAGAGGGTTTTTCTGCGGCTTCTTGTCAGGATCTTCAATCATCAGTCATTCAAGTTGACTTCGCCCTTTGGAATGCTGAGAAAGTTCTAGCGTTGTCTATGCTTTCTCAGGCTTACGCCCATAGATGACATAGCTATAGACCATCCGTACGTTTCACAGAAATGATCTCAAAGCCAAAATCAATTGTGAACTTACACCGGGTAATAGGCGTGGAATTGTCTGTTCTTCAGATCCTTGCGCACGTCGATGAGGAAGGTGTTGACCTCGTTGCGCGTCCATTCGAGGGCGCGGGTGTAAGGCGCCATGACCATAGCCTCCAAACCATTGGTGACGTTGTCGTACGTCCAGGTGCCGATATTTTTATATCGCTGATCCTTGGGCCAGTCGTTGATAGGCCACTTGTGGAGTTTCAATCTAACATCAACGAATCCAACCTCAAGCATGATAGTCTTTAGGGACGGCAGGTCAAACCAGGGGCGTCCCATCTTCGCAGCCGCTTCCTTGAGCAAGATTGCCATCCTAGCGAACGCGCTGTCTTTGGGGAACGTGTTATCATCGGAGAAGGGCCAGACATCTGCTTCCTGAAGCTCTAGCCAGCCGCCTGTTGTTAGGTTTCTGCGCTCATTATCAGTTGTGAAGTTATATGACTTGCACTGTGAGCATGACGCTTACTCAAAGCACTTGGCAAGGTACATCTTCCAGTCGCTGACGGCCGAGGTCAGCAATCGGCTGTGGATGTAGTCGAAAGGCTTCGAGTAGGTCCAATCCTCCTCTAGATCATCGATCTCGAATGCGACGTTAGGGAGCGTACTAAGGATAGCATGTTATTAGTAAGGTCTGCTCTGAAGGACTATGTTGGGGCAAGAACTGTTTCTCACAAAGTCAGCAAAGTATGAGAGAGATCTACTCCGAGAACCTATTTAGACATCAGGTGAGTTGGCCAATTCTCCGCAAAAAAGAATATCACAAGCTTGTCATCAGGGCGACTAACCTCAGCTTCGGGATGCTCCTCTCCGAAATCAAGAGCCCAGATCCCTGTTCCTGTACCAACATCGAGTACTCTTCCAACTTTGGCGTTGGGATCGCAGGGGGGAGCCAGGCCGAGTCTGTCATCCAGCGTATAGATCCAAATCTCGTGCAACATATCTGCCCGTCTGTGAGAATATTGCATCGATCAGGGACATGCCGATAATACCTAATCTCTCGGCTTCCTTCTCGTCGTTGGGCCAAGAGTATTCTGAGATTGATTAATCCAAGTTGACCACCCGCAAGTATGGGCTGTCTCACTGCCGTCCTTGTACCGATGGTAGGTTCTGCCATTCTCAATGCGGTATTCCAGAAGAGAGCTGCTGACACTGGTACCTGATGATGCGACCGCCTGGGTCATTGCAAAGCATATTAGACTTGAATCCATCCGCCTTGAGGCACATTTCTCTTGCATCCCAAAGGCTTCTTACCGAGATTTCCGACAGTCCGTCATTCGTAGCCTAGCCATAATTAGCATCACGTCTGAGCCTTGACTAATGATCAGACTTACCTCATCACCAGCAGCTGCTATCTGCACTTCCTGATCCGCTTCAACCATGTTTATTCAAGGATAGATTTTGGAAAAAGATCTCCCCGATCTAAGTTGCAGTTCCAAAAGAGACTTTCCAGAGAGGCACACAGAATTTCTGGGAAAAAACACAAACTCGAGACCCGACCGAGTTCTGGAGGGACATTCGTCCTTTTTCTGGCCGCACCAACATCCCAACTGCAACCCCTCTTCTTCAACAAGGGTTTACATCAACCAACAAACGAAACCCGCATATGCGCCACGGCAGTCTTTCCTCTTTCGAGCAATTATATGGAGCGAGGTAACTACGGCCGCGAAAGAGAGACTCTCCGTATAGGTAATAATCGCACAGGTGAACAGGACGGACAATTCTCTCCTACACATCGACGTATTCCCGGTCTTGCTGCCTGTCTCTCAGCGGCTGCGGACCAGGGAACCGGTGGAACTGGTGGTATAACCGCGAAAGGCAAACCGGATGCGTCACCTCCCAACCATGGTAAATGATTTCTTGAAGATAAAATACGTTACCGCCAGAGGCGAACAGCCTGGAACATGGTCAACTTGCAGAATTTCCCGCAGTAAAAGCCCGCTGTAGATTTAAAGGCACGTTAAGAAATAAGAGCCAGCCCCAGTTTTCTCGGGGTCGTCCTCGCAATGAACACATCTTATGTATTAAGATGAACAGCACAGCTAAATTCAATTCTCGACGTCAATCGGATGCAACCAGCAAAGCTCAAATGACCGAAAGATCTATCTGATTCGTCAAATACGCTGAACGCCACATTGCCAACCAATAAAGTCAGAACGAAGGACTTCTTCTCTTTTGGCGTTCATTGGCGTATTTCGTGGACCCGGATTTCTACTTCAGCTAGATCATCAGTTACTGGCAGACATGTTTGTTCAATTCGATTGCGGTGGGTTTAACAAGTATTTGCAGGTATTGGGCAATGGAGTCATTGCGACCTTCATTCAACAGCACCTTACAGATTCCCTGCGAAGCATCATGTTGTACGCAATTGCCAAGACCCTCGAACAAGACGGAGAGATTGGAGATGAAGACGATGATGAAGACGACGATGACCAAAAGGGCCCCTTTCAACAACCATGCCCTTGCCTAGGTACTGAGCAAGCTACCAATGAGTACACGTACTACTCAACCCCGCATGCATATCAAACTCATTGTGTTGCCCTCACTTGGAAATCTGGTTAAAGAAACAGGAGCAACGCATGGCAAGTTTAAAAGCTTTGACTGGCTACCTAGGGCAGCAGCCAAAGCGAGATCTCGCGCTCGCGGTTCCCGTTGGAAGCGAGCAGGCTGCAGCAGGCGGATCACCGATGGTCAAGCGGGGCCTGTGTTTGTTGAACAAGAGCAAACAACGCGGTTCAACGGCTAAATTAGCATCACCGACTAGGGTACGTGCAGACATCTCGGAGAGGAATAGTAATCACAGATGAGCTGGAGAACAGAGGGAAGCTATCAAGCTCGATGCGTACCACAGAATAAGGTCGCCAAGTTTGAGCCGCCAGAACCCGTTCACAATCGAGAAGAAAACCACCTCCAAGCTTGCATCAAAGCCTACCGACACGGGGAAAGATCCCAGTTCACTCCGCACCGGACCCGAAAATACGACCCCACATCGGCAACTACGTCCTCGTCCCGCCTCCGCGCTCGGAGACGGCGTCAATCTCCCCCGACCGCGACACCGCAACCACAAAAAACAGAGCGTCATACCTCACTTACGCAACCAACCAGGCACCGCTCAAAAGCCACAAACAGACACCTACCAACCAACACACACATACCACTCACCCAAGGCAAACACGAAAAAGGGTGCAGGCAGCATCCATCTACAAATGCATCCCTCACGCCTCCGCACCCTCCTCCTCCCCCTCACCCGTCCCACCACCACCATCTCCCGCACATTCTCAACGACGCCTCCGGCCTTCAAATCCAAAATGCCGCCGCCACCGCCAAACCCTCCCCTCGCCTACAGCACCCTCCCCAAACTAAACCCCTACCTCGTCCCCTACCACCCGCTCCCGTCTACCACAGACACGGACCCGCGCACCCTAGTCACGCACCGGCTGGCCGTCGGCGCCGCCGTCCTCAACCTCTCCGCCACACCGCCAAAGGTCCTCGTCCTCCAGCGCAGCGCCCTCGAAAAGGCCCTCCCGCACAAGTGGGAACTCCCCGGCGGCGCCGCCGAGGCCGTCGACGGCAACCTCGTCGCCTCCACCACCCGCGAGCTGTGGGAGGAGACGGGCCTGCGCGCCAAGACGGTGCTCGGCCTCGTGGGCAGCTACGAGTGGGCCGGCTTCGGGCCCAGCCTCGACGCCCCCGTCGGGCCCGGGGAGCAGGGCTTCGCGCTGCCCGGCGGCGGCGTCGGGATCCGCGGCAAGCCGGTGGAGGTGCCGTCGGTGCAGACGGGCGGTGAGGGCGAGAGGTCGCCTGAGGCGGCCAAGGGTCGCGACGCGTGGAGGAAGTTTACGTATCTCGTCGAGGTTGAGACGGACGGCGAGGGCGAGGCCAAGGTCGTGATTGATCCCGAGGAGCACGAGGCTTTTGTTTGGGCTACGGAGGCGGAGGTGCAAGCGGATCGCTCTGGGAAGTTCCAATTCGACTGGACTTCGGAGCATCAGAAGGCTGACATTTTGAGAGCATTCGCGATGGCAAAGAAGAATTAGGAACCACGAGCATGGGGAAGTGGCATAGACACAGCATGATTAGAAGCGAGCGGACCATCGCCGCTTATTCAGGCATCTAATATAGGTATAATAGAAAGCATGCCTAACTTCGCCTTCGAGGCTCTCCTACTTCTTCTTAGACCCCTTTCCACCACGACCGCCCTTGCCCTGCTGGCCCTTGGCACCGCCGGCGCCACTGCTACCACCAGCCATCATCACCCTCACCTTGCCAACAGGCACGCAGTTGAAAGCCTCCTCGGGCTTGAGTGCCTTGATCAACTCAACTTCCCTCGGCCACATCTTCTCGCTGTCCTGCGAACGCTCATCAAGAACACCCTTCTTGGCAGACACTGCCTTCCACGTCTCAAACACCTCCTTGACAGCTTTGCCCTTCTTCACCGCACCGGGCTGGAGCTTCGCCTTGTACTTGAACTTGCCCATAGCATTCCACGGTGCACAGACAGGAATGGCCTCGAGAATCTCGTCTCCTGGCAGAGGTGTGCCGACGAGGTTGTCCAACAGAGTCATTTTACCCATCTCCTCGGCGTCGAGCACCTCGATACCCTCTTCATTCATCAGACGACGGACCTCTTCGTGCTCGGCAATCTCCTTCTGCTGGCGCTGATGCTGCGCGCGGCGTCGTTCCTTCTGAGCAGCCAGCTCCGCCTCTTTCTGGGCCTTCAGCTGTGCCTCGGCTTCGGCTCTTTGCTTGCCACGAGCAGAACCATACAAGGTCTCGGCAATAGCCCTGTCATCCTCGTCTTGGTCCTTGTACTTGGCGGCAATCTTTTTCGCCTTACCCTTCTGACCTCGCTTGGCAGGTCGCGCCTTGTCGCCGGCTGCCGTGCTTGTTTGAGGGCCGGGCACAGCAGCCTCGGCTGGAGTAGAAGCTTCAGTGGCACCCTCATCTGTACCATCTTCTTCCTCCTCTTCTTCTGATGTCTTGGTAGCTTCCTTTTCTCGAGCTTCAGCGGCCTTGTCTTCGTCAAGCATCAACTGCTCAACTTCATCGACTGGAGGCTCGACTGCATCAGCGCCAGAGGCCGACTTTTCAGTTGCGAGCTTTTCCTCTGAGTCATCTTGCCCGTTCTGCCTGAAGCCCTGAAGAGGGTTGTCACGAGGCTTCTCGTCATCCTCCTCATCACCAGATCCGATGTCAGACGCGTCATCGATTTCGTTGTCCTTGGCTCCAGCATCTCCCGCAGCGTCGACCCCATCTGGCGCAGACGCTGAATTAGCAAAGCCGTCATACAGCCTGTGCTTCACGTGTCTGGCCTTGCTCTCTTCGCTAATCTTCCACATGATACCAAAGCCCAATAGCAATTGCGCCGGGGGCAAGAAGTTCTTCTGGCCGCGAACCATGAAACTTCCAGTGGGGAGATACTCCCCGGTCGGGGCAGACTTGGACACCTGGTCAGCTTTCACCCACCAGGCACCCATTCCTGCCTTGGAATCCCAAGCACTCGAGCTGCAGACGGCCAAAGTGCCAGCCTGCGCCAAGGTCGAGGGAGGGATGGGGGCATCGGGGTCGCTAGGGGTGTTCTTGATTATGACAGTCGCGGCGCCATGAATGTCTGCGTGAATGTAAACGTCGCCCTTGCGAAGATAGCGCTTGTACAACATTTCGTTCTGCTGGGCGTCTTTGCCACCGAGAACCAGATAACCGTCGGTCGAAATGAACCAGATAAACTTTTCGAACCAAATCTGCTTGCGGATCGGCGCGAGAACCGCTTTCTCCTGCTTCAAACCCTTTCTCAACTCGGCCTGGATCTTTTGTTCGGCATTCTTGAGCGCAATCTCCGTCTGCTGGACTGTCTTCTCCTCTTTCTTGGCAGCAGACCGCTTCTGCTCGTAGTACTCTCTTGCGTTGGCGTAGGGCGTGAATCCAATGTTAACATCCACCTCCAAATGCTTTGCTGTTTTCTGCTTATTGTTCGCTGCCTCATCTTCGCTGTCCGATGCATCCGAGTCGGTCTCGTAGTTGGAATCTTCGTCCTCAATATCCTCCTCCTCGCCAAGCAACAAAGTAATGGTGTTGTCTGCGAGGTTCAGGGGTAGCTTGATAATCTCGGCAACGGGGTTGCCGCGCTTCTGTTCGCGCTCGATGAGCTTGCTGATGTCGATCCAGTCCATTCCTTGTTGAAGTAGACCATTCACGGCGTCCATTGCCTCTTGCACACGCTCCACGTTCGCCTCGATAGCCGTGGCCTTCTGTACATTGAGTGACTGCACCTCCTGAAGACCCTCAATGCGCTTTGCCTGATCATTCCGTGCCGCCTCAAGCTTCCTTTTGGCTGCCGCCTCTCGTTCTGAAAGTTTGGACTCAAGCTTCTGGCCCTCCAAGGATGAGAAGAATTCGTCAACGGTCTTGTTGAAGCCGTCAAACTCGAGGACTTTGATCGTGGGGTCGTTCGCAAACTTGTTTGGTAGGAAAGGATGGAAATCTTCGTAAAGGAGGTCTGATCTCTTCGTTTGCCCTTCCTCTGCCGGAGTCTCGTCCGGCTGGTTCCTATACTTCGCAAATATGTAGCCCTTAGCAGTAGCAGAGCTGGTGGCGTCCTTGACTATGCTACGTGCCTCTGTCAGGGCGACCAGAAGATCGTTCAGCAGAGTCTCATTGTCCAGAATCTCAGCTGGCTTCTTGCTACCGTCAAAGCCGGTGGTTTTGAAGGAGTGGTCCACCAAGATTGGAGGCAGCTCGGTGATTGTCGTAGCCAAACTTCTTCTCAACTCGTCTCCTGGCTTCGACTTGCTCTTCTTGCCTGCCGCAGCGGCCGCGGCGCTCTTCTCGACCGAGGCCTTGAGCGCATCTCGTATTCTCTCCTTTGTGAGGTCGGGGACGCCGTTGAAGTTTTGTCGGTTTTCGAGCGAGTATTCTAGTCCAACTCTTTGAGGTTCCTGACCTTCACCCTCGGAGACATTTCGTAGTAGTGTAAGAATCTTGAGATCGGCGTCCGTCAAGATCACGTTCCCGCTCTGCGCGCAATTAGTAATCAGCATTGTGAAGGCAACATTGGTGGTGGTGGTGACGACTTACAGCAAAGAACTCGAGGAAAAGACGGTACTGGCCATCGCTGAACTGGAACTCTAGAATTCTGTCGGTTCCGATCTGGGAGACCTTGGTCAAACGCCTCGTCTTGAGAAACTTGCGCAATCGCGTGACGAAGGCAGAGGGCGCCGCGGCGGTCGTGCGCGTAAAGTCTGTGAGGTGGCATCGGAAACCCGAATCGATTATGAGCTGCTTCTTGTTGTCCGGCTTGGCGAACTTGAGCAGTAGGATCTTTGAGGAGAGATCGTAGACGTTGGCCAGGCGCAAGCTGACCAGGTTCTCCTGGAGCTCATGGGCGATTACCTTGACGTCGATGGAGGAGAACCGTTGCTTCATGATCACGGTTGTATAGTCTCAGGCAGTCTATATCAGAGTAGTAGAAGGTTTGCGCCGGGTGTTTCGCGGCAGCGTTCGGTGTAGATGTGTGCCGACCGCGGCGATCGACGACGACGAGGGGCAGATTCTGAGGTGATTGAATAATCGCGGGGCAACTGTGGCTGAAGAGCCGCCTTTGCAAGATTGAACGCCACAATGACGTCACGTGCCTTCAACGCTTCCTCCTTTGATGCCCTTTGATGGACACCGAGGCTTGCAATGATAGGAGTGCCAATGCAATTCACTAAATACTGGTCATGTTTTGCATGGTTTGCATCAATTCTATGGCTTTGTTGACTCAGATCTCACGTCTGCCTTTCCAGACTCTATGACGCAGACCGAACTAGGCGCCACACTTCAAGCTCCATAGCTCGGTGGCCAGTCACCCAGTGTCTACTAAAGCTGACAAGCTGATGCTGACCGAGCTTCAAGAGGACAGCTCTGCTAACAAAGACAAAGAGGTCTAAACTTTGGCCTCGGACAAGGCCGCGGTATGGCGTATCCTAACTTGCAAACTAGTTTGACAGACGGGAACGATGACAGCGGCGCCTAATTCAAGGGCCGTGTCTTTGTCACTGCTAGGCTTTGATTGAACGTCAAGTCGTCTACGCATGCCGAGGGGACATCTCAATCGGGGTCGACGAGATACGGCTTCTCAAGAGAACCGTTTCACTGAGCGCAAGTATCGAAACTACGGCACGAGGCCCTCTCCATCGTGGGATCGTCTTTTTTCAGAGCTAGACATCGGCAATGTCAAGAATGAGGCATTCCCTTCGTCTAAGGCCACTCCTGTGATATGTTCACCACTGAAAGATGAGTAGGCCAGGCCATGCTGAACTGGATTGAACGGGATTTGGCTCTCGCCTAGCATTCGGCCCTCTGTCGCGCTGCTACAGACAAGCACTGTACAGCTGTCGCAGCAGTTCGAATGCATCGTCGGAGCCCCAATAGACACGTCGTCGCGAGACCGCCGCTGGATTCGCGCCGCCATCTCCATCGGCCAGCGCATCACCGTGGAGGTCAAGCAAGTGGCGGTGTCTGACCGTACGTCCATGAATGTCTCGCCTCTGTCCTCAGGTCTCGTGGAATGGGATCCATGTCAACTCGAGTCCTCCTTGGCCATCGATAGTCGCTCGTCTCGAAACGCTACCGCATCGTCGTACTGACAACAACAATCAGTGGAAATTTGCGCATTTTCGAAGGCCTTCATGTGATCAGATAGCAGACCAAAATTTGCCCCATGTGTCGGCGCTGCTGCGAAGGTTTACGGTGAGGATCGTCCAGCGTCGAACATGTGGCTTCCCCATACGGCTAAAGCGGGGACCAGGGAATTTCTCGTCGTCCGGGCAACCAGAAAACCAGGGGTGTGTCAAGGGAGCACCCGTGCGTGCCGAGAAAAAAAAAGTTCGTCTGGTCTGGTGTTGACCGCGTGGCTGGGAACAATCGAGGGTCTGGAGCAAAAACCCAGATCAATTGGAACAAAGCCAGGTCCAGGGACATCGTCAGGTTATCAACATCTCCAACCTCCCCCAGAGATCAACAACCATCTGTGGGAGACAGGCCTGCAGCGGAGAAGTCTCTCCAGAGTCCAGGTCTTCTCATTCGATTCAGGGGAAATGGGGAGGCCGGCGGTCGAGCTCCATCCATGCATTGGCTTGATGAGACCCCCACTCGGGCGCTGCGGGCAGGATCCGTACGGTAGCTCCAAGTCTTGGGTTGCGTCTCTCTTGCATCTCTGCGGCGTCTGCGCCTTCAACCTTTGGGCTAGGCCTGGAAGATGGGACAGAAAAAGCAAGTTGCCAGCCAGCCTCGTTTTGCATGTGCGACCGTCAACGTGCATAAGTTGTGCGGTGGTTGCAGACCGACAGTCCAATGATGGGATTCCACGACGCTGATGGCCCAGAAATCAGGACCGGTATTGGTAGTCGAGGGCGGCCGTTGCTGATTCTCAGCAGGGCCTCATCAGCAGGCGACGGCCTGAAAGAGAGGGTCGGGGGGCGGGTGAAGCTGAGGGTGGTTGGGGAAGCTTTGGGAGCTGGCCAATTGAGTTTGCGGGCTGCCGCGGTCAGGCAATTGGGGCCATGCAGACAGTCGATAGCGGGCAATTTGGGCCGCGGTCGAAACGATGATCTTCAAACCCAGCCACCTAGTCCGGTTGTTGTTTTGATGTATCGAGTGTGTCAGGATCATCAACAAAAGACTGCCAAATGTGACAGGCGGCCATCAGCTCATTCAGTGCGCAATTGCAGCACTGGACGTTGCAGCTGGAGACACTGGACCGCGGCTTCTTATCGTGCCTAGCTAGCGTCCGTCTCTGTCTCTCGCTGTAGCCTGTGTCTCTGTCCCCATGTCTCTGACCAGATCGAACACACGAAAGGACAGCCGGCTGCTGATTGGTGGCCGGTCGCGCAGTAGCAGCCATCACGGCATTCGACTTGATCGTAGCGAGCGAGGCGGTGGGACATGGAATGATTCGTAGGTTCCCGACGTTCTGAGCTTCTGGGCCAGTCTCGAGTCTCGGCGACTCGCGGTGGGAATCCGGGGGTCCCCTATTTTTGTCCAAGGTCCCGGTTTGTTGCGTTGGCTGCTCCGTGCCAGTGCTGCTCGATTTCTTGTCAAGGACTCAAGCAGGGACAGAGGGAGAGGGCCAACAGATGGCCCAGATGCCAGGTTTTGCGAAGGTTGGGGCCGTTCTGCGACCAAAATTGATTGCAATCTGTTGCTGGTGAACGATACGGCCTGCAATCTTCAGTGGAGGGAAGGACCCAGAAACAGCCGAGGAGAACGATGGTCAGCCGGTCAGGCCAGCTTCCAGCCTCCAGCATCCAGCTTTGAGGACTCCAAGAGGTTGAAGCGGGACCTGGAGCGGGACTCCAGCAGTTCGCCAGGGCAATCAATGCTGGACAACTCCACTGTCGGAGCTTGCGCAACGCAACGCAAGCGGCTGGGAGGTGGAGAGGGAGCAGCAAGTGATCCTGATTCTGATTCCCGATGGTTTGTTGACAGTGGATCTGTAGGGGACCTTGGAGGCTTGGTTGCAATGGTCGGGACTGGGAGGAGGCAAGCACCTCATGCCCATGGGCACCTCATGGCAAGCTCCGTGGAAAGCTCTGTCTGAGCAAGCAGCCCGACGCCTCCCGTCGCCGCCCGCGTCCTCCGTGCAAAGTCGTCCGGTAGTGGCAGTCGTGGCGGCAGCATCTTGCATGAAGACGGCTGCAAAGATGCCTCGAAATGATCGCAAGTGCATGACGATGCTCCGTTGGGCCAATTGGCACCGTACGACCAACGTTGGGCCGTCAATTGGTTTAGGCGCTGTTTCCACGCTGGCCGGAGCTGGTGCTGCTGGTGAGACTGGAAGCGGGAGTGAGATGTGAGGCCGATTCAGCATGGCGAGGATCAGAGGCCACACAAACAAGGTGAGACGAAGGCCACGGAGGGAACTCCTTGGTACGCTGCTACCTCGTGCTCCGTACCAGGTAAGGTAGCAAGGTAGGTACTGCTGAGGTAGGAATCGATCCAGCCCAAGGTCGCAACCGAGGTGGGGCCTGGGAGCTCGTACCTGCCGAAACCTCATTTGCAAGGCTGCCACCATCATCAATCCTCAGTGTGAGTGAAGGCATCCAAGGCAGCTCCTGCAGGGTGTCCCAGGCGTGCCAGGGCGTCAAAGCTTCAAGCTGCAGAGCTCCACCCCGGTCGGCCCCGCTCTGGTGCTGCCGGCTAATCCCAATTGGGCGGGAATAAACAATGGAATATCCACAGCTGCAAGTGACGGGAGCCAATGTAAACATTTGCCCACAACACACGCACCCTCGGCAGCCATCGAGCGATTCAATCCCCAGCCAAACCACCCTTGGGAAGGCTGGTTCAATCTGTTCTCATCTCGCTCCCGCCCGTGGCCTTCCATCATTGATTGAGCGAGAGTCTTGACTTGACACTCGCGGCGGCGCACGCACACGCCATACGACACTACCAACTAAGGTACTGCGTGTATCCGTATCTTGGGGGTACTTCCCACCGACACATTGGATGTCGTCTGTCTGCTAATTACTGCGCGAATGTACACTAAGTGTTAGCCAGGTCCTGGTCATCCCACAGACAGACGCCAGTCACCACCAGTCAGGACTTGGCTCCGTCTATCAAACTCCCGGACGGACCTTCGTACTAGCAGCCAACTTCCTGTCGTCGGTTCCAGGAAAAAAAAAAAAAAAAAGTACAAGTCGACATCAAGCCAGACCCAGCTCCATATATCCAGCATCCATCCATCCGCTCCAACCACTCATATCGCACCTTTCTGCCGCCAGTCCCACATCTACTCTCACCAAAGCCTCGTTCAATATCACTCCGTGCTTCACTCGGTCCAGCTTCCTTGTCGAATACCTCGCCTCCGAACCGTCAAGTCAAACACACACACGCACACACGGCAGCGGTACACACGCTCGTCCATACTCACTCACACTCGCACTCACACACACACATACGAGACTCGAGACACACCACCCTTGCTTGCCCCGGCAACCTCACAGGCTCAGCAGCCCTCGGTCTTCTGCATCTCACACTTCTGATCCATCCAACCATCTCCCCCAGCCCCCCGTCTTCAAAACCCAATCCGCATCGCACATCTCGCCTGACCCTCTTCTCCCTCCTTCTTCCCTCTCTCGCCATCCATCATCAAAGCTTCAAGCCATCTTTCTGCCCAACGCTTCCCTCGCGCAGAATCACCGACTTCTTCCTCCAAATCCAAAGCAGAAGACCAGAAAGCAAAAGAAGCGCGAGTCAACCAAAGACCGGCTTCTTCCCACTTTCCCCTTCTCCTTTGTTTTTTTAGGAAAACGAAGCAAGAGGATACTCTTCTTTGCCTTCCTTCTACCGGGAACGCTTAGAAGATTCTCCTCGTTGCGCCCAAAAGGCCGCCAATCTGGATTTTGAAGCGCGCATTCCCGTCCCCTTCAGCGTCTTCCCCTCCACCTACAAGGAGAGCGAGACACAAACCCAGACCCAGACCCAGACAGTAACCACTACCCACGAAGAGCTTGAGATCAAACTCCCCGAGAAGCCTCACAAGCCCGGACGGGAAGGTCACGTCTCTTCGTTCCCTCAAGAACAACTTCCCCCTCCCAGGAAGGACCACCGCGTCACCGAAGAGGTCCGTATCGAAGAACACTACCACCGTCCCGGTCCCGGTCCCAAGGTCGAGTCCCACACCTACGTTGAGGAGTTCCGGTATGTGTCTTTTGTCCCCCGTTTCCTTGTGTCCAGCAAGCAATCTCAAAGCACCTCCCGAGAGAGAAATTGAGCTCGAGAGAGAGAGAGAGAAAGAGAGGCAGAAAAGGACGGAGAGAGTTGGCCTTGAGCTTCCAGAGAAAAGGGCCCTCCAATCGATGGGGGGTCCGGACATCTGGAGAAACAACGGTCTCTCTCTCTCCCTCACCTCTTGGACTGTCTCTCTGTCTCTCACTCACTCTCTCTCGGTATCCATCCCACCCAGCCCGTTTGTTTTCTTCCACACACACCCCCAAACACCACAAACCCACCCGCGGTCACCGCCTCCCCATCCCCCCTCCCCTTGGCCCTCCTCTCTCTGCCTCTTCCGACCCTCCTCCCCTGTCCCCAGCCGCGGGACCGCCTCAGCTCGGGCCCCGGTATTTCACCAAATTTCCTCTGCTACCCTTGTCCATTACGAGCCGCCGACCATGGACCCTGGGCGCCTCCTCCCGGGACCCTAGTCCGCAGTTGGCCAAGTAACAACATGTCACATCAAACATGTCAACTGGATCAAAAAAGCTTCCCCATCAAGCTCTTCCCCCCCCAACTCACCTATCTCACTCATCTATCCCATCCAAACATTCGACTGACCTTTCTTCTCTTTTCCTTTTCTCCAGCCCTGTCCACCAACACTTCCACAACACCACCAACGAGTTCAACAACGACACTCGTGTCCAAGTCGACCACCGTCACCACGAGCACCTGGTAAACCCGATTGATAGAATCGAACGCCAGTACCGTCAACGCGCTCAGCCCAGCTACTACCGCGAAGAGGTCACCATCGAGCAACGTCCCTTGGCTTTGCCCGCTCACTCTCACCACTCCTCCGGTTCTTCTCAGGTCTCGGGTCACTCCCACAAGTCCGACCACTCCTCCTCTCACCACTCCCACCACTCTCACCACCACCACTCCGACCACCACTCTCACCTCTCCTCCCACTTCCCCTCTCACCACCACCACCACCACCGCCCCGCCGCTTCCCACGTCGACGAGTACACCGTCGACTCCGAGCGCCCTCGCCCCCAGGAATTCAAGGAGACCATCAAGGTCACCGAAGAGACTATCGAACCCTCCCACGTGTCTGCCCCCCAGCACAAGTCCGACAAGATGGGTTACTACGACGAGCAAGGTATGTTACTACTCCCCCATCCCATCCGGGCTTCAAAACCCCCAAAGGCCCTGGTGTGATGACCCCCCTTGCGATGCTTTCTTGGCTTCAGTGTGTTTCGGTTTGCGCAGTGTGCTCTCCCCCACTATGGTCCAAGAACTGAACAGGTGTTTGCCGCACCAGGTCATTATCACTCTTTCCGCCAGGGTCTTCACAAGCTGGCTGACAAGATTGCTCACCCGCATAAAGGCAGCTCCACCGGCTACGAGATCGCCGAGATCCGTGGTGCTTCCCGCCCTTCGTCCCCCGGCAACACCGGTGCCCCTCTCCTCCCCAACACCGTCACCATCCCCTGCCACCACATCCGCCTCGGTGACTTCCTGATCCTCCAGGGCCGCCCCTGCCAGGTCATCAAGATCTCCACCTCCGCCGCCACCGGCCAGTACCGCTACCTCGGTGTCGACCTCTTCACCAAGCAGCTTCACGAGGAGTCCTCCTTCATCGCCCACCCCTCCCCCAGCGTCGTTGTCCAGACCATGCTCGGCCCCATCTTCAAGCAGTACCGCGTCCTCGACCTTTCTGACGGCCACGTCACCGCCATGACCGAGACCGGCGACGTCAAGCCCAACCTGCCCGTCATTGACCAGTCCAACCTCTGGTCCCGCCTCAACAGCGCCTTCGAGTCCGGCCGTGGCTCCGTCCGCGTCCTTGTCCTCAACGACGCCGGCCGCGAGCTCGCTGTCGACGTCAAGGTCATCCACGGCTCCCGTCTGTAAGCGTGTGAGCGTCACCGCCACCACGCGCTATGTTACTGTTACGTCTTGGATTGTTGGGATCTAGCAACATGTACGAAATACAGATGATGTCAATGTAATGGAGAAATTTGTGAAGGGAAGGGTTGAGATTGGACGAAAATCTTTCGGATAAAGGATCCACGGAGTCAAGTCTTTTACGTAGATAAAGTAGCTCTGTATATGATCTATTATCCATACCATCTGTGCCAATCAATCGTGTCGTGTTCACCAAAGTTTTGATGCTGGTGGGAGCTTGGGTCTTACTGTGCGATAGAGCTCCCCTGTCTCTGTCTCCACAAACGTGTGTTTGCCGCCACAAGTGTTCCCTGCCATCCATCATGCTTCCATGTAAGTCAATGCTCGCCGTGTTAATAGACTGTCACAGCTCACCAAATACGTAGAAGCCATTTAGGAAAACCCAATCATTCGGGTCCCGTCCTTTAGAGCTGTGGGCAACACTTCTCCAACGGCACCACAACCTCTCGATACACCAACTCCGCAAATCTCGAGTCGCCAAAGTCGTCCTCGAGACCAAATTTGAAGCATATACATTTTCGAATGGCTTCGTACATCTCACGCCCAAGATCTTCGCCAATGTAATCCTCCATTGACTTTTGTGCTCTAACAACCCACAGAAAAGCTGCACAGAATGTAGTCATCTCGTTCGGGCAGCCATCGTCATCGAGCGATTCCATCCATGATGGCTGCTGTTCTAGCACTTCGCCATGGAACAGCTCCAGAAGCACCACGCCTAGGAGCAAGAGGGATGATTTGGCATTCCAGAGACCGCCATTCCTAGATGCAGCAGAAGACAAGTCGTGAGAGCTGTGTTCGAAATATGGGCCGTAGGGTCTGGCATATTTGCCTTCCGGTTTCGGTCTGCTAACTAAGAATATGTCATCTTTGGCCAACTTGAGAGGCATCCAAGCTGATGTAGCTAAGCTCAAAAGCGTGATGGCGAAACGAAGACCAACAGCGATGCGGCTGTACCGTGTGGCTGAGGTACTCAGAAATTGGTCGATTGACTGTGTTTCTGATGCTTTCAAAACCTTTTGATGTGTAGGGTCCAGGCTGAAAGTGATTCTGTCATCTCTTCGGCCCTTCAAAGTGTGGCTGCGTTCTGGCAGTGAAGGGTCGGTGGTGGCGAAGTCGCACATATCCTCAATACTTAAACTCCTCATGTGCGTGCAAGTATCAATCGAGCTAATCGAGGAGGCGATATTCGACTGGGTCCCAGCACTACTCTGCGACGACGTTGAGGTTCTGGAACACGAGTAGTGTGAGTTCACATGCTAGTTCAATCAGATCCTAAATCATGGATATTTGTCTTCTTACCCTTCCATTCCAGGGTTAAGCCTCAGTTCGTCCATTGTCATCACAACACTGTTCAATTCCGAATTGTATGAAGCAGACATGGCAGCAGCCTGGGTCGAACCTGTCTGAATCGAAGCCGACGCCAAGCAGCTCGACGCTTGTCCCGACTGTGGCGATGGCAGCACAAAAGACTTTTTCAGCTTTTTGGTGGGGCGCACCAACACGGCCTTCAGACTTGGTTCAGAGTGTTGAGGATTGGCCATGGATAAAGACGCAAAAGCTAAGGTAGCAATTCCTTTTCCTTTGGAAGAGGCTTTTGCAGATTTCAGTTGCTGTTTCAGTCTCCAGTCGCCTTGGATCTTGCCAGCCGTCTCGATATCTAGGCCCAGTGAGGGAATATCAACTCTCCTTGTGTCAGCATTAGCAGTCGTCGAAGCCTCAGCTTCTATGTTCAGCTGTTTTCGTCCAAGGTCGTACTCAAACAACATGTTAAAGCATCCTTTTGCTCTGGATCCTTGACCAGAACACTTTACAGGACTGATTCCAAAGGTATGTGCAGTTGAGCAACGGCACTGCCATTGATGTGCGAGCCCAGCGTGCAATCTAACAGCTTGATCATGCAGTTCTCGAAGTGGTGATATCAGATGTTTTGACTCCTGCTTTTCTGCCTTACAGTTGGCCAAGTCTCTTGAAACTGGAACTCTGTCAAGGAATTGGTGTAGCTCGTTGTTGGTTGTGGTGATTAGGGTAAGAAGTCGGTCCTTGTTTCCACTGAAACTTGCCCGTAACCGTAAGAACTCGCTTTCGATGTCTTTTGCGTCTACGCTATATATCTTTTTGAAATGTCAGTATACGGTACTGGCGGTCAAACCATACATCAGGAAGGTCTCAAGATTAGGAAATCGAAATAGGGTGCTTACTCTTTGGGTTGGCAATAGTTTGTGTAAATCCATGAAGGCTTGGTTCATTTCCCACAGCTTCCTCGTGAACCACTGCCTCTCTGCGTCTAACAAATAGCTTCTCAACTCTTTTTGAATGTCTGGCCGGTGCCATAGATCCGAGTCAGGGTCACGCAGAAGTGTAGCGCAGTCGAGTTTCGAGATCTTCAAGGAGAGGAGAAGGCGCCTCAACAACTGCGAATACGCTATCTCCTGCGTCTCTAAGTTTGAGATGAAATTTGCGAAGGTCTTTTCGAAACGCCACCACGATTTGGCCTTCTGAAGGATACCTTCAACATCCTTAGCTGCGTCGCAAAAGATGGGGAACGCTCCCAGGACGACTCCCGCGATCTCAAATCCCGACATAGCGAGTGCTTTCGTGTTCTAAAACGTACGAAAATTGCCCTCAAAGGGCTAAATCAGTGGATGAATGAGGCTGAAATAGAGGGGAAGCTGACGGGATGAGAAGGTGTTGTTATGCGCGTAGCTGGGAGAAAATGCTGTCATTTCGATTCACGTGTCCTGCAGGCTGATGTGGCCAAGGTGCGGGGTCATTCAGCTGATAAATGTTTGGTTAGTAGATTATCTGTCGCATTGTATTCATTTTCAATAATTTTAGGGCCAACATGATGCACTCGGAATGAACGATATGGACGAAAAGCAGTCTTCCATCTTCGGGCACATATCTCGAGGATCAAACAATTTCTCGAGCGATTCAGACTGCCACTCAATTTCTTCTGAGGCAGGGTCCTGTCATGTATCTCTATCGGAACTCTGCCAACATGTTGCGAAGTCTTCCTATTGCATCCTGGAATTGACTACTATCGAGGAGACAGAACGATTCAAGCTGTGGACAGTATATTCTGGTGTCTTACAAGGGTCTGAGGGCTCGGATTCATTAGATTTCAGATTGGAAACCCAGAGCCAAGAAAGTAGATGTCTACTGTCCGGTCTGAAACGTCTCAGAAATGGCATTCGTCGTGGTGAGAACTGCTACAACTCCGTTCAAATGAATGCGATATGACTAACGTAACTTCTCTTTCAGCAACTGAGATTGTGTCCGGGACAGCTCCTAACAGATCAGAGGTCTCAACAAGTTCCCTCGAAGAGCTTGTTCAGATAACGTTCCGGAATGTGACAGGAAATATAAGCTATGAATCAGATTCGGCAACTACAGAGCTAGCAGAGTTGTTTCTTGGCATTCGGACCAACATCACCCATCTATTTTCACTTGCCGAGATCATTCAAAGAGGTTTACCTCAATTGGAACCTAGCCCATTGAGGCTAGAGATACCGAGCATGGCAGGGGACCTTGACGCCGTCCAAGTCACGATCAACTATCCGAAAATCAAGCAATCGCCTTGGCTTGCGTCGCGTCTCGGTACAAACATCTCGCAGCAGCGACATCGTCTCTCGCAGCTTCTATCCTCAAAACATGTCTCTACGAGACGTAGGCTCGCAAATCAGACACTAGAAACTCTCCACGGACATGCTTTCACGAATAGCTTTGACATGGAACGTACGAGCAGGGGTATCATTATCGACGACGCTGAGAACCATCAAAACATGCCCACTAAAGATGAAATCTCTGCAGGCATGGAGCATTTGGAGATATATCCTGTCCCAACTAGCGACAGAAACACAGACCGCAAAGTTCCGGAGTTGACAGACATGTGGCTGGGCGGCACCCGATTGCAGTATAACGCACCCATCGAGTGTCCCTACTGTGGCATGGAACAAATTCTCGAAGGCAAATATGAGTGGGAGTAAGTGACAGACATACACTTTGAAACGCACCCGTCGTGAAGATTTCGACCTACTAATCTGCACTTTTAAGACAGCATGTGTATCGTGATCTTCAGACATACGTATGCACTTTTGAGAACTGCTCCATAGGACCCTTTGACACCTCGCACGAATGGTTCAGACATGAGTTGAGTTGCCACCGAAGACAATGGAAGTGCTACATCTGCAACTCTAGATGTAGCTCGGCATTCTCATTTGAGCAACATCTTGTGGCCGATCATCCTGGTACTACGACACCCGCACAAAGACGAGCCATGCAAGAAGCCTGCCAAGAAATGCTCACCGACTTTGACAAACTGGACTGTTTGTTTTGCGAGGAATGGCCTCCACAAGTAGACATTACGATCGATTCGGAGAGTTTTCGTGCCCATCTGACAAAACATCTACAGGACCTTGCTCTTATGGCCCTACCTTTGACCGTCGACAGCTCAGAAATAAGGCGGGATCTGGACATCGAGGATCCCGCCATGACAAATGATACAAGCTGTGGCTATTCAACTGCATCTCAAGATGATTCAAATAGCCTCCTGTTACTTGGAATGCATGTCGGCAAAGAGCAACGATGGAGATGTCTATGGCTAAAAGGAGACGAGGAAACCGTCTGCTCATACACCACTCTTCATTACGAAGACCTTCTCCACCACTTTTCAAGCCTACATGTTTCAATTGATCTGGACGAAGTTCTGGACTCTTTCAAATGTCCTTGTTGCGATGATTCGGCTTCAGACTCAGACAATTGCATTATGTGTCTGAACGAAAACAACCACCCGAACAGATGGTGCTACACATACGCCTCCAAGAGCGCAAATACGAAGCAGCCGTACTGCAAGGCTCTCTCTTGGGCATTGAGAAGAGAGATTGATGTGTTCGAAGAGAAGGAGCCTTGCGTTGATGATGCGAGGTCGTTGTCGAGAACGAATTCTGCGAGCACCGACATATCTTCAAGCAGCTACCGCAGAGACCATCTGTCTTCAACAGAGCACACGGACGTAGGGGCAGCTATCGCCGCACCCGACGCGTTGTCCCATCCATATTCCTCCGGTCTTTCGAGGCCTGATTCTCCATTCCTTCCTGACGTGCGACGACGCTCGACTGACAGGATATCTGATGAATATTCTGTGTCAACGGCGCCTTCAGCTTTTACCGTGTTGAACTTGCAGCCAAATGCAAGTTTCAAGGCCGTCAGGAAGGCCGTCAAAGTGTCCTCACCCAGGAGGCTAGGCTGCGAGTTCAAAGCCTGGACTGGTTGCCAACGTACCTTCGGCCTCGAAGAAGACGAAGTTGGTAAGTGGATCCGACATGTGGAAGATGAGCATCTTGGTCGTAACTACCCATCTATTTGTATTTGTTGGTTTTGCGACGACATTGAGTTCAGAGCCGATCAAAGTTCAGACCCTGGAATGAACTTCGAATACCGCATGCGGCATATTGCAGACCATATCCTCGAAGGACTGGGTTTCGAAGAGAGGAGGCCGGATTTCCATTTTCTGGATCACGTCTATTCAATAGGATTGATCCCCCCCGAAGCCTTTGCTCTCGCTAAAGGCCAGAGCGAAGGGCCACGTCGACCCCCAGGCATCTATCCATCGGGTTATAGACCAGAACGACGAGATGAGCCACAAGTCATCGAAGTCGCAGGATCTTCTCGTCGACGACAACGGGATTCAAGACATCACCTTTAAATCAATTGATATTTTCACCCAGGTCTGGTTTTTGCAATGGTACAAATAATGACGCCAATTTTGCTGCACATCAGCATCATAGTTTGAGGTGGGCTATGATAGCAGCAATATACTCATAACACAACTTCCTCAAAAGACCCGGCTGACGTCCGCTCTCGGCACTGGTGCTCGGGATATGAGTGCCGGTCCACGGAGCATCCGGTGTTGTGGGTCTTTTACATGTGCCGAACCTCCGGAAAGGTAGCCCAGTACCTACGCCGGGAGAAACCCCTGCGAGCAACTTCACTTAGAGTCGAGCCTTTTAAGTCTAGACCCTCAGAAGGTTCAATTCAACAAAGAGTCAATTCGATGTTCTTATCGGTGCTCTTACGGATTGCGTGGCGGCCCGATGACTGCTCTGTCGGCACAAACTGTAATAAGTCCAGCGAATTAAGTGGACTCCATTGCGCCATGTCCTAGGTAGGAGCACTCTCTGGGAAGACATCGCCGCCCATATGGCATCCGCTCAAATCCATCAGACCCATATCGTAATCCAAGCGAATGGCTGGGAAGTCCGGCACCACAACCGATGCGCAAAGAACCGCATCATGTGAGGACCCTTTGGGTGCGATCCCTAGGCACCTTGATGGACTCGCGCAGTGTCTCGTGTATCAATGGCGTGCGTGACTAGCTGTCATTGGCAGCTAATCCCTGCTGGCGCACCCCTCATCTTATCGATGTTTGGCTGGTTTGGAGTGATCCCACCAACCTCCAACTGATAAGCAACCTAGCTACCCCGGGTTCCGGGAAGCTCTCACTAGGGGGCACGGGGGGCACGATTGGGGGATGGGAGGACCTGCCCTACCTCGCCTAATGTGCAACAAGACACTCACCTGCTTTCTCTGGCATTCTCGGTATCAGGTGGAACGTGTTGAAGGCTGGAATGGGGGAAACTGAGTTGAAAGAGGGGTGAGGGGTTAGCTGCTTACGACTCGCGTGCCTTTGTCTTAAATACCGAGCTAGTCCATTCCTTTGAAACCGAGGAAGGCTCAAGCTTCTCTTCCTCCAAGCTCTCTTCGCGGGATTGCGTGATCGTGTAGCTGTCTGGCAGAAGCTGGTCCTTCCCCCTCCATCATCGGCCAAACTATTCATATTCGTGGCTGAGAGGTATAGCTTCGCGTGTCCATCTGAAAAAAAAAAAAAAAGGTTCTATCAGCCTGCCAACATGGGCTCCCAACCATCAAAGACCGCCGCCGTCGACCCTTCGAGCGAGAAAGAACTCCTCGAGCGCCTTCGCCGATTCCAGGTAACCGAAAATGAGTTGGTCAACGTAGAAAACGGAGGCGGGGACGAGAAGACCGGCATGAAGCTTCTCCGCGAGCCTGAGGGTCTGCCCGTACACTTGACACAATCATGGCAATCCCGCTTCCTCTCCGATCCCAAGAATAAGTGAGTTTCCGCTCCTGGATCTCATTCAAAAGGCCTTCAACTCACTAAAAGCTCCCCAGACTCGCCCTCACAGCGCTCAGCACCGCCGACCCGCGAACCGTCTTGACCTCGACCTCGACCAAGCTCTCGGATCCGCAAATCTTCAACGTCAAGATCCCCTTCGAGGGCGGGCCCATCACAAACCAGCGCTCCTCCGGCCGCTGCTGGCTCTTCGCCTCCACAAACACCTTCCGCGTCGCCCTCATGAAGCGCTACAACCTCGAGGCCTTCGAGCTCTCCCAGTCCTACCTCTTCTTCTGGGACAAGCTCGAGAAGTCAAACTACTTCCTCGAGCAGATCATCGACACCGCGGCCGAGGACCTCGACGGCAGGCTCGTCCAGGCCCTGCTCGGCGACATCGTCAGCGACGGCGGGCAGTGGGACATGGTCTACAACCTCGTGCAGAAGTACGGCCTCGTCCCGCAGGCGCTGTACCCGGACAGCTGGAACGCCATGAACTCGGGCGTCCTCAACTCCATCGTCAAGACAAAGCTGCGCGAGTACGCCCTCATCCTGCGCAAGGAGATCCGCTCCGGCTCGGCCACGGCGCAGACGCTCTCCTCCACCAAGGAGAAGATGGTCCGCGAGATCCTGAGCATCCTCACCCTCACCCTCGGCCCGCCGCCGAACCCGCGCGAGGAGTTCACCTGGACCTACCTCGATAAGAACGGCAAGGCGCACGAGCTCACAACGACGCCCGCGGCCTTCGCAAAGGACATCTACTCCTCCGACTTCCGCATCACCTCCGCCGTCATCGAGGGCATGGTCTCCCTCGTCCACGACCCGCGCCACGAGCCCCTGACGCTCATGACCGTCGACCGGCTCGGCAACATCGTCGGCGGCCGCGGCGTGACCTACGTCAACGTCGACATGGCGACGCTTAAGTCCGCGTGCGTCTCCATGCTTAAGGCGGGGCTGCCCGTCTTCTTCGGCTCCGACGTGGGCAAGTTCAGCAACTCCGCGTCCGGCATCATGGACCTCGACCTCATCGACTACGAGCTCGGCTTCGGTGTGTCCACGCTGGGCATGGACAAGGCGAGCAGGCTGAGGACGGGCGAGAGCGCCATGACACACGCCATGGTGCTCACGGCGGTGCACCTCGACGCCCAGGGCAAGAGCGTGCGGTGGAGGGTGCAGAACAGTTGGGGCGAGAGCGCGGGCGACAAGGGCTGGTTTGTCATGAGCGATGCGTGGATGGACGAGTTTGTGTACCAGGCTGTCATCGACCCGCGATTCCTGAGCAAGGAGGTCAAGGGGGTTATTGGTACGGAGCCGATTGTGCTGCCGCTGTGGGACCCGATGGGCAGTTTGGCATAGATGTCTCGCGCGTTTGATGGGTTCGGGAGTCGGCGGACGCGTCTTTTCTTGTCGGGCACGAATATTGATGAATGGGATGGGTAGGCAAGCAGCGATCTAATTTACTACATGTTTACTTTTGCATCCGGTCCCCCTCTCAACTGCTCAACATATGACCGGTCGTTCTCCTCTCCTCCGCCGTCGGCCACTTCCCGCGAAACCATGGCCGTCTAGCCAAGTGCAGACCGGTGTAAGACCAAAGATCCGTCAAGTGGGCTGCGTCAAACCATGGCGGCAATCCAAATAGACCCGCGTCATCTCCAGTCATGGAGCTCCGCGATATCCTTGCCAGCAGTGTCGCCGGGGCCCGAAGCGGATACGTCCCGGCCGCCGACAGCGAACCCCGGGGTTGTCCACTCACCGAACCTTTCCTCAGAACCCTCCACCTCGCCGATGAAGGTTTTGCTCTCCCGACAAGGGACCACACACTCTCTGACGTGGTGGGCTCGGCCCGCGAAAGTTCTTCCAAGGACGGAAGGTTTGTTTTGCCTTTTGTGGATGGGATATCCGCTTGTCGACCGGGATGGAGTCGCTGGCCTCGAAGCGAAAAGTGAGGCTGCCCTCATTTGGCTCCCGGTACGCGTTTTGTTGAGCTCGATCAATTGGTATCAGTCATTGCTCCTGGAAACTCTGAGTCTGTGACTCAGCCGTGACTCGACAGAAATTGCTGCGTTCTTCCGATCACCTCGTAAGACAAAATTGCATCAAGATTAGAGACGGGACAGGTTCATGAGGGCTGTTCGCCGTTTGATCTGGAACGGCCTATGAACTACAGTCCGTGTAGCACGTGGAAGTACGGACACTGTCCAAGCAGTCGCTGCTGTATCCAAGCCGCTCGGTCTAGCAACGACTTGACGGTGCATTAGTTCGTAGGCTGAATGAATCCTAGGCTGCTTCTCCAAATCGCCAGCGCGATGCCAGCTACACTTTTGATAGCAAAAGTGAGGTGCGAGCTGACGGACGTCCTTGGGGTCTGTCGCCAAGGATCTCGCACAGTCGTTCGCCTGTACGTAAGTGTTCGAGATCAAGGTCGGGGGCCTCAGTTCAGATGGCGTTGCGGCGTATTCTTGGCGCTACATCGATCCACGTGGGAAACAGCCCATCTCTGGCATCAGAGGCTCTGCTAGTCCAAGCTCAATCTTCGTCGGGCTCGTTCACTCCATCCTTCGACTGCGGGACAGCATCATCTCCCATCAAGTCCACGCACGTATCGCTCAAAGGCCCGCTTCAAAGACGGATCTGGATGAAACGTCAGTAGATCGAGATGCGAAAATTGAAAATTCAAAGTTTTCACCCCGTCAAAGGATAGGCAATGATCGGAGCAGATCACTTGAGATACAATGCAGTACATGGCGGAAAGCCTATGAGCTTCTGGGCCTAACAAACTGGGCGAGAACCCAAAGCCGTTGCTTGGTGGCTTGGAGTTGACCGAAGCCGGGGATCCCCGTCTTGGGCTCTACCGGGAGCGGGCTCTACTGGCGGGTCTCCGGGACCGTTCAAGCCCAACCGTCAACGGTGTTGTAAAGGGGACGCCACAAACTACATGGGGTCCAACCCTCCTCGAAGCGGCAAAGCTTGAAGAGTGGAAGAGAAAATCTTCAACTGTGTCGCCTATTGGCTCATCAAAGCGCAAACCATAGGGATCTCGAATGCTGGCATCGCCGAGGCAGTGTTTTTTTGGGCAGGGCTGTTTGGCGAATTGAAGCAGATGGGATGCTCCTTGTCGGCTAGAGGGAATGACGGGGCATGACACGAGTGCGCCTTTCTCCATTGAGCGCCCTTGCGTCGATAGCAAGACAACCATCCCATGCTCTCGTAGCATCTCGCCTTGCACAGTTGAGGAGGCAACTGGAGAGACGTTACACTTGTTGCCTTCCTCTGTGGTTGCGAAGGAAGGCAATGAGGGAAATACAGCAAAGTATCAGGCAGTAGCTGCGTGTGGCTGAATCGTAGCGGTGAGCGAGCATGCGACTGACGGGCTCGAGATCGACCCCAGTGTCCCCACGCGGCAGTTGCGGTTTGGCTCTGGCCGGGTATCGATCGAAAGGTTTCGGAGCCAGTGCTTCGCGGCAGGCGGGAAGACGCAAGTCATTGCTTGTTTGGTCGTGTGTTTGCGGCGTGGCGTAGCCGGGACGCAGATAATATGGAGAGTCGTCTTGCAGAACGGCAAGATGCTGCAGATGCGATTGAGTAGCAGTCACGCAGTGCAGTGTGCTATGTAGGCACGTAGGTCGATGGCGTGGTGGTTGCGGCGGTCGGTCGTGAAGGTGGGTGGTGCGGGGCAGTCGTTGCGCTTGTCGCCGTTGTCTTCTTCCCTCTCGTAGGCCAGTCGGGTTGGAGATGAGTCTGGACAGCTGTTGCATCGGGATATATCACATCAAAGGACTAGCGGATGTTCCAGAGTCTTCGATGTGTCCCACTGTCAGGTGGTGCTTGGCAGTCATACCGACGAGGGCTGACAGCCCATCAGGCACAGGCCAGGAGGCACAACAGACGGGCAGTCGCAGTCGACCAGCAACCGGAGATGCGGGCGGATGGTTGGGTCGAAATGGGCACGTCCATTTCATCCACAGCGATGCAGGGAGAGAGACATGGACAAGCGTGTAGTTAAAATCGGGCTGTCGGCGCAGTGGGGCCCATTTCTGCGTGCAGGTATCGATCGATATCCACGATTGGAAGGGATCGTGGCGGATTAGGTTTGGGTTCTGGAGGGATTGACGGATTGACTGGCTGTGGTTGTTGACAGCGTTGATGATGCGATGCCCAAGGGTGTGAAGGAGTTGTTGATGTTTTATTTCTTCTGCCTCGAGCCCTGGTTCGGTGTTTGTTGATTGCAGGAGATAGGAACGATAGGTACTGCAGGTGAGGCAAGGCAGGTATGGCTCGGAACTGACCCAATGGAAGGAACTGAGACGGAAGGCAAGAACGGCGGGAGGTGCGCCTGCCCGAAGTACCATTACCACCACCAAGACCTGCCGTTGCGGCTTCACATCCACATTCACATCCCACCAGCAAGCAGTTGCATGTTTGGTTGCTGTTCGTTCACCTCAGTCCCGTCCGTCACGTTCATGCAGCTCCCACGTCTGCCGTTAGCCTCCACCGAGGACAAGCATCCGTTTCCTGGGCAAGCCATCCCGTCCCGGCCGCTCTAGACGGCATCCATCTTTGCCAATGGGCGTCGCTCGCTGGTTCGCCTCAATCAATCATCAATCAGACTGGCGTCAACATCTTGCGCGCTAATGTTCTTCTACCCAGTACAAAGTCCCTCCGCTGACGTCGGCCAAATTCCCGATCCATCACAAGCGGACAACGATACGGCACGGCGGTTTCTTGTTAGTCAGGGACCCGAGCGACCCTTGTCCTCCGGTCAGACGGCATTGGCATTGCATCGCACAAGAAAGAGCGCGGCATACATACAGCGTGCCTGTCCGTACAGAGCATTGCGACGCAACCCACGGCGGATGGGGGCAGCTGCGGCTTCTGCGACACAAAGCCAACAGCTCCAACGAATGAAGCAGTGTACATTCATGTTGCCAGGCGGGGATTTGCTTCCTGTCCCCTATTTTTCTCAAGTTGTCGAACGCAAACATCTGCACGAAACAGGTCTCCGTGGCCCGTCGTCATCCACCCAACACGAGGAGTCCAGAAAATGCTGGCTTGTTCTTAGTCGACAAGCCCCCTGCCCCCAACACTTGCGGTGCCTCCCCGGTGGCGGTGGGGGTTTGCGACACTGGCTCGCCGTCTGCCGGACGTCTACTATTAGTTGGAATTTCAGAAATTCAATGTTCAGTTCACTGCGTGCCTTAGCATCGCGCCAAAGCCCTGGAAGGATACGCCGTCAATAGCGGAGGTGAATCCTGGATCCGGACCTTCACCTTAGAAAAGCGCAAGCGAGGAGCATCCTGGCTCTGGTCCAGACCTGAACAGACGGACGTCATCGCCGCGATCGACACGGACGACAGCCGGCTTCCCGAACAGGAAAGAGAGCGACTCATTGCTCACCACACCACCAGCAAGCTGTGAGCTCACTGCCGTCAGAACCCTCTAGTTCCGAAGGACGGCCTCGCATTTCAAAGGGCCTGCTTCGGTTTCACTCCCCTGAACCAAATTCACTAGCCAGTCGAACCCTTACGACGGAATAATTATGTGCTTCAGATTGGACCTGATCAATTTCAATTCACCGGTCGCTTCTTCGCCCTCTTTTGGTGGACTGCCTCTTGGTTTAAATCCGCGTCATCAGTTAGACCACTTGAACTTCTCATCACATTTCACACACAGTCGATCGCCTCCTTGCGTTTCTTCATCAACAGGCCCTCAGTGGCGACCATTGCCAGCACCAATCGACAGTTGGAAGCAGAAGATCAGGAAGATGCAGGCAGGACTTCAGGGCGGAACCTACAGTCGAATCACCGCCCTCGTCTCATCCGGCCTCCAGTTTTTGTCTTCATCTGAACTCCTCAGGAACACACCACAGAGACGAAACGGCCTTAGCCAAGCAAGCAAGCGTTTTCCACATGCCCGCCCAACAGGCCTCCCTTTCCAGCGCGATTTGATTGAGCTAGCACCATTGGCCCTCTGCCTGGGTAATAGATAGGCTCGAGACTTGTCCAGCAAAGGCAACGTACTAAAACAGTTATCGGCAAAGCGCCCAGTCGTCGGCCGTCCATTTCCCAGGCTACGGGGAACTTACCTTACATGACGGCACTAGCATTGGCATTGACGTTGACGCACGTACACAATCAATCCGCCAATCCAGCTTGTCAGCTTGGTCAGGGTAGAGCTACCTCGAGCTACACCAAGACACACCCTCCTCTCCATAGCTCGTCGACTGTGTAGGAATACTTGAATATTTCACGTGCAGCACGCGACGGACAACAAACCGCCCTCCGTCTATTATTGTACATGGCATGCAGCCTTGTCGCGGCAACAAGCACTTGTCCGTCGTCAGCTCCGGATAACCG